CAAAAAAAAAAAGAAAAAACTGGAATTAATTTGCCACGAGCTCGCTGAAACGTGCTTTTATACTCTCACTATAATCAGTGATCAGTGTATACTCCCTTTTCAAGACTTGAGCACGAGACAACTTGGTTGGACGACTGACACACCTGTTCGTTGCGGACATGTATGTATATATATGCACCTATTTCTGTGAAGTTGTTACAGGGCGGATTGTATATATATATATATATCTATATGCAGACAGCCTAGTTCATGATGGATCAAACTCATCGATAAGCTCGCGACTCATTCACAGTATACAACGATTTATGTCTTTATAAAACCACGTGGACCTTTTTTGCATTTTTATATATTTCCCTTTCCTGACATTCCATTCAAATTACCATTGCGCATACATAAATTAATATTTTATCGAACGAAAACCTTTCACACTAGTAGTCAAAACAGACATTTTAGATAAAAAAAATTCACGCCCGCGATAATTTAATTATTGCGAAGGGAACTAATTTTTTTTTCTCCAGAGTTAAAATTGATCCTAGAGTACAAAAAAGAAATAATTATAATCACGAGGGGGAAAAATATGAAAAAAGAACATATTTCAATACTAAACATTTGTGTGTGATCTATACACTTGACACATTTTTTTTTTGCAAATTGAACACGATTATAATAAAGAGGTCAGTAATCTTGCATATTTATATTTTATCTTTGAAGGTTGAAACTGTTTACGGTATAAACATTATTAAATAACAGATATATATTAAAACAGTTTGTCCATATAATTTCCTCCTGAGTATTAACGACTCTAAAAAGCAATTAAAAATACATATAATAACCTATATTGAATATTTTCAGGTAAATTTATCATTTTCATTAGTAATTAAATGAAAGTTTGTGTATTATATGCAATATAAATTCAATATAAACATTATAAACGAAAATTAATTAACGATTTTAAAAAGAAATTCCCTAAGGACCCATTATTTTTGTTTGTTGTTCATTTTTTCCAATAAGTGATATAATCCACAATTTTTCGTACTTGTCAAATGAACAACGTTTTCCATTAAAAATGTTTTTATAAAATTAAAACAAAAAAATTACATTTAATTAAAAAACTTAAATCTTTACAAATTTCCAACATAATTATTCTAATAAAATATCAACACCGTTTTCTTAACCCTCCGTCACACACCTAGGGAGGGATTCCCTCTACGGTTTCAGTATTTTTTAAATAACTTTTGTTTTCCTCATTGCAAAATAAAATCAGTTTCTATACCTTTCGACAATTTACTCCTTAACACATTTCTAAAAAAACATTTAGTTTAAACATAATTAATATTTAATTATGAAGCTTCAAAGCCAGAAAAAACTCGAAAAAGTGAGGTTATGTTAAATAAAAAAATCAAGTTTTCAAAACATTTTTTGTTCCACTGTTGGTTAATGACAAAATTATATTATAAATATAATTAAAATGAATTGTTTAATGATTTTTTTTTGCTTATTTGTTAATGTTACATTATTTTTACATGTCAAGTGGAATTCCTTCGAAGATGTGCATTCGTGTAATTAATTTTTATTTTTGAGACCGAAAATTAATTTTATTAATTTTATAATTTAGAATAATTTACTACATATTTGTAAGTTTGTGTTAAAACTAAATTTTTGTTGATTCCTTTGTTTATGTTGTAATGTTGCTTATTTTACAATGTGGTGAGGGATTCCCTCTAAACGTGTGTAAAGTCGTAATTTTTTCTCATGTGTGTGACGGAGGGTTAAAAGTATCAAATTGATACTAAAGTACGTGTATCAAATTGATACCAAAAATTTAGATCAATTTTAGATCTAAATTTTTGATTCAATCCACATTTTTTGAATTAGTTTGTTTCAGTTTGATTAATGGTGTCAATAGTTAATAGTGAATTCGTTTAACCGTTCAGAACTTTAGGAAGAACAACATCCAAAAAGCAACGTTTTGATTCATTTTTTTGTCTCAATTTGATATCCTCAGAAAAATTGCATTTAAAACCAAATTTTGTTACCCAAATCCGAAAAATTCAAAAAAATCATATTCTTACGGAATTTTTTCACTGAGAAAATTGAGGCAAACGAACATACATCGATAACGTTCGTCAGAATTTTATACTATAATTAAAAATTAACTATATAGAGAGAAAGAAAATACCGTATTATTATATTAAATTTACTTCAAATTTGGCATATATGACAGCTTTTCCAATTTCGAGAAACGTTTATATATTTTATATACATAGCGAGATTCAAAATTTCACCTTTCATATATCAAGCTTTCATTAATTATTAATTCAATGCTCGACAATTTTGAAGCAATATATATAATGTTATGTGAAACATTTTATTAATTCCATGATAATTAATCGATATTGCAATGTGTATGTGAAATAGTTACCCTAATATATATTTGACGTCGTTATACATTTCCCTCTCGCGATGACAACTGTGTGTTATATTTCTTTTAATAGCGATAATTATAAATGAATAATTGACATCAGAAACACTTTAGTTGTGATAAAAGTATACTATTTACTCAAGTATGTATTAGGAATTTAACAATTTTCTCTCTCGTGATATTTAAATTAAACGCCGTTAATTTCATCATCATCATCATCAGCAGCAGCAGCAGCAGCATCAACAACATCATCCTTTGATGACTGGACATTTGAAAGAGATTTTTCAGTTCTTACTAAATCCAGCAAGTTTCTATCCGTCGCATCGAGTAAATACATTCGCTTCAACAAGAGAGAAAGCAAAGCCCAATACTATACACGATGACAATGCAATGATTCTGGAAAATCAGCGATACTGATGAACTTACAAGTAAACGTCAAGGTTCTTTTAAAAAAGAAATCAAGGAGTGTTTTTTCAAATTTTTCACAAAAATATTGAAAGTATTACGGATGAGAAATGAGAATGGAGTAGAGATGGTAAAAAGTGAAATATTAACGAATAGTTGAGTTTTAATGGACTAAAATCGACTAAACAATGGGTTAATACGTACCTAACGGATGTACATACGAGAATGTACAAAGGAATAATTATAGAAAAGCCAAAAGAGCGAAAAAAATGCAAAATAAAAATTTCTTAATATAATACTGTCCCAAAACTTTCGAACTTTCAATAAACTACAATATTTTTAATAGTTTCATTCAATTTGAATCACAGTTTTTCTAAAGATATCAAGTTGAGACAAAAAACGTATCAAAACGTTGCTTCGCAACTATTTTGATACGTTTTTTTGTCTCAATTTGATATCCTTTGAAAAACAGTGATTGTATCAAAAAATATTGTTTTTAAAAATTTTTAAATTCATTTTTAATCAAATAAATATTTATTACATCTAATTACAAATAAATATTTAATTTATATTATTTTTCAATTCATTATAGTAATTTTTAAAAGTATTTGAACGTCCCTAATGTTCTAAATATTCAAATCAACAAAATTTATTTATTCTTTCTTCAAAGTAAAATTTTATTGCAATAATACTGAGAAACGTATTAAAAAATGTTTTATAAAAATTCTAAATGTTTAATTTTCTTCTTTTTTATAATAGTAATTTTTAAAAATATTAATATTGACAAAAAAATTCCGTTCATTTCAACGTTCAAAAATTTATAATCCTATAGTTTTGAACATTCAAATTAAATTTATTTATTTCTTCTTTAAATTCAATAATTTTGCAATACTACAAAAATATAAAAAATTTAGGAAAATATATTGTAAACAATATAATGTTCAGCAAATTATTTAATCCCTTAAGATTCAAACTTTTGCTGCAAAAATTTCTTTATTTTTAAAATCGGAATGATTTTTTTCCATTTGAAATACGAATTGGATTTTAAAAAAAATTATAATTCTTCATTTCTTCCTTAAATTTTGTTATTATAATAAAACATTGCGCCGTGAATCACAAAATAAATTATAAAGTTTCTAAACGTTTATTTCTATAGTTTTCAATTTTTATTAAAGTAAATTATTAAAATATTTATAAAGAAAAAAGGTTTCGTTTGAAATAAATTTGAATTTAGACGTTTAAAACTTTGAACCATGAACGTTCAATTGTTTGGAATTTTTTTTATTCTGTTTCCAAAATTTTTTTCAAATATTTTCTAAAATTACTATTTTAAAAGAAGAAATTATTGCAAGTTAATCATTTAATTAGTTAAGAAATAATTTTTTCAATGTATAAATAACTGTTTAAAACAATTTAATTTTAAATAAACGCAAATTTAATGAAGTAACAAAAAATCGTAATTCAAAAACTATTTTTGAACGTTCAGAAATAGTTGGAACATTCGTTGTAATATAAACAAAGAATGAATGTTATCAAAAAAAGGTGTCCAGGTTATGTATAAAAGTAGTGCTGGTTCACAAAAACTTAAATCTACAAAGGATTAAATATTAACAAGATCATGTCTGCTCAAAAATTTGCTATATTTAGTTACTCAAAAAATGTATCTTTGAGCCGTTGTTCTTTTCTTGGAGAATACAAAAACCATTTTAAATATCAATCCGAAATTAATTAAAAAAACAGATTTCTATACCTAACCAAAATGGTCAACCGATTTTCAAATTTAAATTTTCCCCCTACTCTTCAAATCCGGAATCTTAATTTATTTAATCACTAAACAAATTAGTGTAAATTCTTTCTAATTTTCTTTAGAGGACTTTGAAAAGTTTCCTGATTTAGAGTAAAACCATTATTTTGAACTAAAAAAAACCCTCAAACCTATAATAACCTTGTAACGAAAATGTTTATCACATAACATAAACAAATATGCTCATAAATACACATGAGAGCCAAATGATTGACCAATAATACTCATTACAATAGTAATAATAATAACAACAAACAACATCAACAATAACAGTGATAACTGTACCAGCAAAATAATAGAAGGGTAACATTTAAAAAAATATGAAAATAAAGAGAAAATGTAATTGCAAAAGAAAAACAGAAGACTTACATTTTATAGTGGTGCTGCATGTGATGATTCATGTGCATGTCAACGGATTGTTGTTGCATCTGTTGTTGTTGTAGAGTCTGGTGGTGTGTTTGTGGGGGATCCAAACTCGAAGCACCAAGTAGATTGGCGCTTTCCCTGAAGAGCGTTGCCACCTGCATCTTTATGTATATCCTTTTTACAGTTTTCAACACAAAAACAGGTCGTCTTCCGACGGATGTTGTTGATATATCCAATAAACACACAACCCGCACTTGCTTGCAATGAAAAATTTGAAATTGGGTCTCCTACTTATATCCAATAAAAAAAGACCCAAATGGCACTCAAAATAGTCTCTCTAAAAAACAAATATAGTAACTATTCTCTACTATCTTGCACTCGCGAAACTGACCCGACGGATAACTTTAATGTTACTTCAATTCCCAAGTAAAAATCATAATTCTTTCGTTTTCTCAGGTCCAATCAAGGTTTCTTACACTTGTCTACTTATCTTAAAAAATTTATCACAATTCACTGTCTAAAAAAGACAAAAATTTAACAGATTTGCAGTGATCACGCGACGCATTTGTGGCCCGGATAGGCCCCGGGTGCGATCGGCGAACCGATGCCACACCGGCTTTGAGAAAGTTAATCTTCACTTCCACGGCACCTTGATTATATGTGCGTTACACTTTTTCTTTCGAAAATTCAATTCGGCCAACACCCTCTCCCGGTGCCATAAAATTTCTACCTTTGCTGTCTCATCAGTACATATTATCCGATTCTGCAAACGAACCTCTTCGAGTCACACGGTCTTGTCCCAAAACGATCACCACACCCGTCGTTGATCATTCGTCCGTACTAAATAACGAATCTTTCCGAGAACAAGGACAACACACAGTGTCGTCCAATTAGACGTAAACGACGCAACAATTCTTTTCTACATGAACACCAACTAATGTTGATCCAATGACGATGATAATTTTGCACTTTTTCCTTTCATAGAAACAAGCACGCACATTAAATGAATATAACTTGAGTCACCTAACCGCGGCACTAGAAACGGCCGCACTGCTTGCCCGTATCGCTGAATTCGTTCGCTCGGCAAGACTTCGTGAATTTCCGTCGACTTCGGAGCGCATCGGAATTGCTCGTTGATTCTCGGCTACGTGGTTGGGAATCGCGCCTGCTTGTGCTTTCACGGCTGATTACCTGGTTGCCTAGCCTAGCCTGACTGACCTGGCCCTGGCTGCATACCTGCTTCTGCTATCCAACTCTATCCTAACCTCTCTTACTTGATATCCTATACCCATATGGCTGTCTTGTGCACTGAATATATCGCTCTCTTCTAGTTCTCCACCGTCAGCCTACGGCCAGGCATTGCAGTACAGAGTGTATATACATGTACAGCCAAGTTGGCTGCAAGGCTGCGTTCCCTGTTGTTCTCCCGAGCAATTCTTTACTCTCTAGGCACATGCACATGTACCCTTCTCTACTTGTGTTGAGAATTCACTTCCAAACGTGTGCGTATTTACGTAAATATTGCAGGAAGAGAATGTGTGCAAGTAGGCGTTCCACTGTGTGAGTTTGCCCATGTCTGACCCTGTCGCTTGTCGAGTGGGTGGAAATACAGGATCGTACGAATAAAGGCGAACATCTTTTAGCGAAACTTTTACTTCAACGTTACACAACACCAAAAGAAAAAATCATTTTTTTAATCCAAAACTATTTTTTCTCTCTATTCTAAATCCAAAAACAAATGAAAATTTTCTCTGTACCAAAAAGAAAGTACAACCATTGCCTATTTGTACGAAAAAATATTCTTCATCAAAAATCGAGAAAAACAATTTTTTCGAAATTTAACAATAAACTATATTTCTCACGCAGTATAGAATAAACCTTTTAAACTTAGACTTGATAAATTTTAATACATGATGATTGAAGCATCCATAGTCTACAATGTTTGTTTTTACAGGCACTTTATACCCACTGTTATCTTCTTATCAGTTGTAAATATATAAAACAAAATACTAACAATTCGTCCAACAATGATGGAAAAAAAAATGTTATTTAGCTATATTGAGTTTAACTATCATATGCAGCAGAACAAAAATTAAAAATTCGAGGTTATGCTCAAACTATCGAAGTGATGATCTAATCGATTATCGATCTGTTCAAAATCGACAAATTTTTAATTATTTTAAACGGAATAATTCAAAAATCAATCAATTGCAATTGTTTACGCAGTTTTTATAAGGATATAAAATTGAGACAGAAAAAGTACCAAAATGTACAACATTTTGGTACGTTTTCTGTCTCAATTTTATATCCTTAGAAAAAGTGTGCAATTTTTTTTTAAGTCCAGTTAGAGCTGAAACAACTGGCGACAGTCCAAATATTCATTTATTGATAGTTTAACTCTAAAAAAAAATGTATTTAAAACAACCAAATTTTGGATGAATGAACCAATCAAATGCTTTCCTATGGAACATTTCTTTGGTTCAACTATAAAAATTTGCTTAAGCTGATGAGAAAATTCTTTCTTTGAACCCAAAATTTATTAAACTGAACCAAATTTTTATATTTACCAGTGAAATGAATCAAAATCAATCAAAATACATCATATTTGAATTAAACGAACATTTAGAATACCCTAAAAATAAGGATTCTTACAACAAGAATAGTATATTTGATTCAAACATAATTCTCATTTTTTTAAGGAAATAAAATAATTTTTAAATCAAAAAAGTATTTGAAGACTAAACTACATTATGCATTTGTATACAAATTATTACAAATTTCTGATATCAAAAACAATAATTTGTTAAATTGTAATATTCATCAATCGCTCTCTGCTGTCAAGAAATTGTAAATTTCATACATTTACAAATTTAATTTATTGAAAAGCGTTTAAAAAACTCTTTATACCTACCGCGCTGAAAACGATTATTTTATTTAATTTTTGCTTATATAGAGGTGCCAATGAAATTATGGAGCTTTACTAAAACTTTTGTTTCAATTCTGCCTCAAGATAATATATAAACTTCGCTCCCTATAAGTAAAAATTATCCAAAATAATATATAAAGTCTGCTCTCTAAGTAAAAATTAATCAAAAATAATTCAAAATGACTTATGCTACTTATAAATTAAATAATTATAAACTTGAAATGCTTGCTCATTTCTGACTATTAATATTTGTAAACTAAATTTTACTATACCTTTCTTTAAAATTTACTTCTAAAATAGTAAAAATTTTAGGTTATTTAAAACAAAGTTTATTTATTCTAAATATTTATTTTATTTAAAGAAACATTTGGTTCAGTGTAATAAATTTTACATTCGCGAAAAAAAATTCGATTATCTGGACGAAATTTTCAGTTGAGCCAAATAAATGTTTTGTTAACTGTACCTATAAAAAAGAATTTATTTGGTTGGCTCAACCAAAATTTGGTTGTTTTAAACCAATTTTTGTGTGTGTGATTAATAATAATATAATTAATATATAAATCTGAGTATAATAATATTAAACATTCTCTAAACATGAATGTATCAAAATTAATCAATAGTTTATACGAAGGAAAATGAAAAGTAATTGCTATAAAATATTTATTTGCTTCAACTATAAAAATATGCTTCAGATGACCAAATTCTTTTTTTAAATGCAAATTTTGTAACACACTAAACCAAATGTCTATTTAAATCAAATACATATTTACGATACACAAACATTGTTTAAAGTAATCTAAAAATAAGGTTTTGTCCAACAAAATAGACTATTTCATTGAAGCATAAATTTTTCCTGAGTGTTCTTTTATCATAATTTTTATTATAATTTCAAGCAACACATCTCCTCGCGCTGAAAGAAAACTATTCTATATTAAATTTTATAAAAGGTATTTTTAATTTAGGCACAACGTGTTATAAAAAACAAAACATTAATATAAGAAATTCTAATTTGTAAAAGAACTTTCATGGAATTTATGAAAAGTTGAAAAAATATTTCAAATATCAGTCTCATAAACATCATAAATAGAACCATAATATAACTTATGTTTGAAATAAATATATTATTTCTCTAAATGAACCACAAAATATGTTTCAATTAAACTTAAATATGTTTGACTGTATAGCTCGCTGTATAGCAAAGATATGTTAAGTTTGATTTAAACAAAATCACAGATTAAACGAAATATGTTTGAATCAAATAAATCCTTTTCTCGCAGTGTTTCTTTTTCAAAATTTTCTCCTAACAGTTAAAATGTTAATGCTAAATTTCGTACCTAGCATTTCGCTATATGTCCAATTTTGTCTATGGATAAAAAAACTAAAACTTGGGTAAACATTAGGTACAAAAAAATGAATTTTTCTTCTCGATGACACAATTTCGCTCTCTCTAAATAAAAAAAGAAGAGAAGAAAAAATACAATCTGACGCGATAAAACTAACATAAAAAGATTGAATCGTAAATTTTGAGGCCCAGGAGGGCCTGAAAAGCTTCGTGCAGCCTTTCCTGGTGACATGATGGTGTTGTTTTCTACACATGCATGTGGCAAGAGGAAGAAGAAAGACAGATGTTGGCTTGAAAGAAGAGAGAGGATCAAGTTGGAACAAACGGGTTCAACGTGTGTGTTTGTGTAAAAGATAGAGACTTTAACCATTACCAGGACAGAGAGAGAGAGAGAGAGAGAGAGAGAGAGAGAGAGAGAGAGAGAGAGAGAGAGAGAGAGAGAGAGAGAGAGAGAGAGAGAGAGAGAGAGAGAGAGAGAGAGAGAGAGAGAGAGAGAGAGAGAGAGAGAGAGAGTATGTGTAACAGTGCATGGCAAAAGGGTTGAAAAGGGTAACCGTGAGCGACAGAGAGAGAGAGAGAAACCTACAGAATGACTGACAGAGACAGATAGAAAAAGTGAGAGAGAGGGAGGGAAAGAGAATAAATGTATTTGAAGATGTTTGTGAGATAATGCCTATGTATGTGTCTGTATTTTGCGCGCGCGCGCGCATACACACGTTTTAACAAACAAGGAGAGAAATATATCCAAAGAGCATTACCAGAAGAGAGAAAGAACAACTTCAGTTCAAACCTATATGATGTCGAGACTGGCTGCTGACTCCCACTACTTGAGCTTTAGAAAAATCAATAGAATACAAGAAAAGCCGCTGCGCACCGAGTTAGAGGGTCTATCCTGTGTTTCAAATTCTCCTTTCTCTATTCTCTCTCTTGCTTACCAACATCTCTCAACCATCTAAGCTCCAACAGTTCCAGAAAAAGAAAGACAAAAAAAAAAGAAAAAGAAATTCAACAATTCCCCCCACCCTCTCACTTCATCCGTCTCTCAAAAAAGAGCCTGACCTACATATTCATTTTTACAATTTTTACCCATATTCCCTTTAATATAACCTGTTGCGATTATTTTTCTATTTCAAAAAATAAAATCCTACTTGAAAAAAAAATGTCTTCGTCTTTATGCATTCTGCCTTTCATCGCCCACGCGTTTTCTATACAACATATATATATATATATATATATATATATATATATATATATATATACATATATACATATATAGTATATATGTATTCATTTTGTGTGTTAATGGCAAAGAAGTACCTCGGGCTGTGCAAAAATTAACTGTTGTTTTGAAAGTTCGATGAAAGCGAAAAAGATTTTTTTTCTTATACAAAAATTTTTTTTTTAACTTTTTCTCTACATCTATTTCTTTTTTTCCAACATTACATAAAATGTGCTATATAGTGCAAAAGAAAAAGAAGAGCACTGGGTATGATGATGAAGAAAAAAAAAGATGGCGCGTATTTGAAAACGTGCTTTACGCAAGCGCATGTCGTGTATATATTTAAATGCATATATATGTATATAAATGTGTATATAAATATATATAGATATATTATATGTGTATCTTCGCGTAGTAGATATTTCACAGGATATGCACATTGAAATAGTTTGATAAACAGGTATTACCTACTATTAACCAATATATAGGCGACACATCCATTCATAACGTCACACAATTATTGTCTATAGTCAATAAACTTCAAATTTGTGCTTTAAAAAAATTTCTTCTAAATTTTTTCTATTTTAACAACTCTTGGTTTGCAATAATAACATTTTATTTAAAAAAAATCGTTTTTTATCAATTTATAAACTAAAAAAAAAAATTTATGTGATTCAAATAACCGATTAATTGACTATTATCAATTATTAAATATTTACTTGAATAAAATAAAATTGATTGGAGTCAATTAAATGGTATTTCGACCAATAATTTTAGTATTTGGAACAATAAAAATATTTGAATCAAATACCATTTAATTGATAATAGTCAATTAATCTGTTATTTGAATCAAATAAATTTTTTACAGTGTTTAATTACATATATAGATATATTTAACAATGTAATATGTTTATAACTGGGGGGCAACTGACCCCCTTGCCCTCCCCCCGGTTCCTACGCCACTGTATTAAATAAAGTTTATTTAAATTAAATATTTATTTGATGTAAATAAATGTTTCGTTCAGTTTCCAAAATTTTCTTTTCAAAAAAATGATTTAATTTCTCTAAATTTGAATTAGTAAAAATCTATATTAATAATCGTTATATTCCAGTAATCTGTTCGCTTTTTATTTGTTTCCTAACTTTTTTAAAATAATTTTTAAATGTTTTCAATATTTTAATATTAATGTAGATACTGAAAATCATTGAATTCTTGCAAAGTATTTATCGAAAAATTTGAAAATAATTGAATTCATTTAAAGAATTTTATCAACATTTTTTTTGAATAATTAAATTCTTTCGAGAAAATTTAATTAAAATTGTATTGGAAATAATTTAATTCTTGGTAAGATTTTTATTAAAATTCTTTAAAATCATTGAAATTTACAAAAGAATTTTATTATTAAAATAAACTTTTAAGAACAATTTAATTGTTTAGAAAAATTTTATTACAATTTTTAAAAGTAATTGAACCTGTTAGAGAAATTTTATTGAAATTATCCTGAATATAATTGAATTGTTCTCCTAGATATTTTATTATTTACAAAAATAATTAAATTGTTTCGAAGAATTTTATTAGAATTGTTGAAAGTAATTGAATTTTTATTAAAACTCTTGAAAATAATTGAATTTCTTTGGAGAATTTTTATTATTTATGAAAATATATTTAAATAAATGCGAAGAATTTTTTTATTTATATGAAAATAATAGAATTCTTGCCGAAAAATTTTACAATTTTACAATTGTTTCGACGAATTTTATCTGAATTTTGAAAATAATTGAATTTTTTGAAGAAATTTTATTAAAAGTTTTAAAAATGATTTTTTTAAAAAAGAATTTCATCAAAATTGTTGAAAATAATTGAATTTAATTAATATTTTTTAAAAATAATTGTATTCTTTCGAGACATTTTATTAAAATAGTATTGAAAATAATTGAATTATAGCTCTCATAAATTTTATATTATTTATGAGAATAATGAAATTCTTGCGAAAAATTTTATTAAAATTTTTGAATAATAATTTAATTGTCTTTTCTGTTATCAAATTATAGTTATTTTCAACTGCGATTATATATTTAAAAAACGACAAAAAAAATATTTTTGTAAACATTTATTTCTAAATTAGCTCATCAGAAATCGTAATAAAAAATTTGGGACAATATAATTCTGAACACAGTTCTTCTATGGATATCAAATTGAAAAAAACGAATCAAAAGTGTCGACACTTTTGATTCGTTTTTTGTCTCAATTTGATATTCTTAGAAAAAATGTGAAATTTTGCCGAAAATACTGCACAGTAAAAACTAAAAATCGGTTAATCAAAATAATTATAAAAATTCTGTAAAATAAAAATTGAAATATGAATTTGGTTAATTAAAAACAAATAAAATGTAATTTTCGAGAAATGTCAGTGATAAAAAACTAGAAGTTTATTTCGACTAATTCGATAAAATAATATTGCAACTAATTGTCAAATAAATAACAATATCATAACAATAACGACTGCAATTATTGTTTAATGAAATTATATATCCAATTACTGTTGTTTTTTTTAACAAATAATTTTAATATGTATAATTTATTAATGAATATAACAAACTTATCACATGAATTAAAAAAAAACAGTGTTTACAATTTGAATAATGATTTTTTTATTATAATTTTCACGCACCTATGAATGTAAATCAATAAATAATTACTTATTTTTTCGACAATTTAGTTGCAAATGAAGATTTAAGCGTCAACGAAGATCAACAATATTATGTCATAAGGATTAATATAATATTTGCATATATTATTTTCCAGTAAATTAACCTTTCTGCTTGTATTATACAAAAAAACCATTTTAAGTAATTAATAATTGTATTTATACTCAAAATTTTATTGTTGGAAAAAATATTTCGACTTTAGGTTCATCAGTGACAGATATCGAAATTGATTTTTATTTGCAAAAGAATATTTCTAAAATTATTGTAAAAATAGAAGAAATAATAGAAGGGCTAAAAAATAAAAATAATTGTTTAATGATCTAGACTGTTGCGGAGCTTGGCTCAAACTAACTGACCCAGCTTCGCGGTTTTCAAACCCGCCCCAACTCACTCTCTTTCTGCCTCCTCCACTCCGTTTCCTGCACTATCTGTTGGCCTCCCTACATATACATGATAGGGGCATCCTCCCTCACGGTAAAACCCTCTTGGCAACTTTCAATTTATGCCTAAAGTCGTTACAACCAAACGCGTATTCGCGACAAGAATTTACTATCAGCCATTCATACCTTTCCCTCGTGGGATATCAAAGAAGTGAAGATTTTGCACATTTCACCAATCTATATATATTCTTTTCCTGAAAAAAGCACTTGATTTTTTTTTCAAAACTTCTATTCACGACAATTATTATAAACAATTATCAACAGAGTAAACAGAGTTTTTCTTATTTCACACAAAATATTACCAACAAAAAATTGGATTCGAAACAATTTTTACTGAGTACTTTTCATTCACTTTAAATATCCTTTAAATTACGTTCTGAAAATCAGTTTCGCAATATTTGACAGTTCAACACTTTTCAATAGTGTTAATGTGTCTTTGAACTATTCTAGAAAAATTAATTTTTAAGAATTTATTGAAAAAAGTTTACGGTATTTTGAAAAAAAGTTCGACATTAATATAAATATATTTTTTTCAAGAAAAAATTCGTCAAATTCGTTCGTTTCATTTTTTAGGTTATGTTCTAACAGAAAACTTGATTCATGTGAACAAATATTGCAAAACATTGTAGGAAAGACCATTTCCGAATTGGAACAAAATATTTATTCCATTTTGATATTTTACGAGCTTATTCATCACCTATTTCCTTCATATTTTGGTGATATTTAAATATTCCTGTTTGAAAAAGAAAAACACTGGGGGGAGGGGGAAGAGGTGTATAAACAAGTATTTCATGAAACTGACAAATTATCAGTTTTTTCAGTAAATCATCGCACCTACAAATTACTCCACACGATTTTTATAGAAATTTGTCAAAATTCCTATAAATAAGAAACTAAGCGCAACAATTCTTTGATCGAAAAAATAAGGTTTCCTAACGGAAAACAGCACTTTCTGCTACAACGAGAACGTGTAACAAAATTTAGGAAATTTCTCGAAATTCCACAAAATTTGATAGATAAGAAATTTGTACCTCGATAATTGCCTTAAATCCACACCGTTAACACCGAAGAATCCGTGAAATTGACACTAATAATTCGTTTTTTGTTTAAAAGTTTCGTCGAGAAGTTATAAAAGATGCGCACTGATGCGAACACAATGCCGGAAATGGCGCCATTATGGCGCGAACGACGCGACCTCGTCTGCGCATGCGTCTGGCGTACTTGTCGTATTTAAATTTAATACACGCATTTCTTTAAATTAACCAAAGAAAAAGTAATTTTAAACAATGAATCTTCGAATTTCCATTAAGTGCTACTTTAATAAACGAATATCGACAGAAAATTAAAACGCACCGTTAAGAAATTAGGCGCACAGTGCGGAAATGCATGTAGTACAAAAAGTTGCCACCAGAGGACATCGAATGGCGGGAATATAACATTTTTTTGAATTTTTACTTTCCAAATGGAATTTAAATTAATATTTATTAAAAATTCCAAATGAAATAAAAGTAGAAAAATTCGTAATTTTATGTTTCTAAATTGTAGAAAAAAATACTATTGAAAATTAAATATTCCAACTAGCGATCAAATAAAAATAACCTTCAAACAATAAAAAAAAATTTGAAACAAATTTTCTAAATTCATTATCGAATTTCGAAGTTCGTTGAAATTAATTATTTTACTTATAAAAATATAAATTATTTTCTTTTTTTTGTACTTTTAAATGTATCACATTTATTTTCATCGGCACTTTGATGTATAGCTAAATAATTGTACATTGTACAAAGAACAATTTCGTAATTGTTCAATGTTAGTCTTTTTTTTCAACTGTTAAGTATAGTAAGAAAAAAAATACTCTAATTATCTGAGCAAAAAAAAAACTAATTTTAAAAAAAAGTGGTAAATGCTTCAAAAAAAAAATAAAATTACTTACTTGAAAATGTATACAATAAAATTTAAACTTTATTCGCTAGTTTCTCTTGTTGTTGTTGTTGTTTGATTTCTTACTCTGAAGAATCCTCGTCGATGTTCTTTACTCGTTGGTAAATCGGCCTTATTACCCGTGTATGGCGCATTTGGTAAATTTAGTGGCAACAATGCTGTTGGAATTGGCACACAGTCCACCAAACAATTAACTAATTTTAATTCTCCCATTGTTAATGGTGTATTGATATAAAGGATCTTTCGCTCCATGTCGATTCCTCGGATTATTCCTAAAATTTCAAAATAAAAAAATTAATCAAAAATCTGACTGGAAAATAATTGGAAATAATTTATTATTTTTCAAAATATTTTTTAATATTTTAATTTTTTAATATTTATTATTAAATTTATGGAGCGCGACGGGATCCATAAAAAGGTTTCTGAGAATTATTTTTTGTCTTTCTTATTATCATTTCATATTAATTATAATTTAATTAATTTAATAAATAAATTTATTATATAATTTATTTAATAAATAAATATTAATATTTAATAAATTAAATAAATGTTATTTATTTAATTTATTTAATTATTAATGAATTGTAAATTTAATTGTTACTAAAATGAGATTATGGAGAAAATGATTTTTACCGAATCCATAACAGGTACTTAGTGGCGTTCTAATCAGGACTTGTGAATTTTCTGAATTTGAAAGAGCTGAATTATTGGATTCAGCAGATGGATCATATCCACAAAGAGCCACTATATTTCCATTCATAGCTGCAAGTACATGTGTTAATGGAACTCCAGTTTGTGTCAGTGACAAGTAAAGTGACGACAAAGGCGCTCTGTAAAAAAAAATAAAAAATTTAAATTCTCAAAAAAAAATAAAAATCACAATAGAAAAATTAAACTACCACATAATAAAGAATAATTCCAATGACAAATCATTCAATTAAAATCGAGATTAAAATTATCAATAGATTCAAAAACTGATTTGAAATGAAATAATTATTAAAATATGCAAAATTATAATTATAAATAAAATAAATGAAATGCATAAAATAAACAAAATAAACAAAATAAATCAAAATTACAAATAAAATACATAATAATTATAAATAAAATGTATAAAAATAATAAATAAATCTTCTCGATACCAATTATTATTATTTAAACTTTAAATTGAGAAAAAATAAATTAATACTCACTTGTACGGGGTAATGTCGTTTATACTCGGTATTGTAAATTTTAATGATCTGAAATTTACAAAAAAGATTAAATAATTACTGAAATAAATAAGGGGAAGATATTATAACGTGTTAAAAATTAAAAAATGTAAAATCATACTTCATGTGTTGTTTTCCTTTCGTTATTTCACTAAGGTAAGCGAGCATAACAAGATCTCGTTTTTGATAGGGCTCCATATTAAACGTCTCACCGTTTCCATGCATTTCAGCTTCCGAATTAATTCGATGAAAATTGTAACACAATTCAATTTGTTTGTCCTCTTCATAAACAGTCCACGATGATTTCTAAATCATTTTTTCTAAATTAATTCATTACAAAACTGAATAATTTAATACGAAAACAATGAATAAATATTTAAAAAATAATATTAATTATAATTTCTTTTTAAATTTTGATAAGTTCAATAATTACTAATTTTCAATTATCAAATAAAATTTTTAATTTAGAAATGTTTTTCTTTCAGTAGAGAAAAATTTAAAAAGTGGAAGACTTACTTGCTTAGCAGCATTTTCAGTGAGGTAATTTTCAAAATTGTTCCTCACTTTTTTCGACATAATTTGTATGACATTTGTCGGTTGAAAAATTCGAATGATAGAAAGAGCAATATCCATACCAATTCCTTTACAAAAGCCCATTGTATTGACAATAACGGGTAAATTGGAAATTTTCGAATCACTTTTTAATCGATTTACTAATATTTTTACAGCTTCTAAATAACGTGTCACGCAATTAGCAACATTTACGTCTCCAATATATATCTGATAATACGGAGTTCGTAATTCAGTGAAATTTGGTCCCAAAAATGGCGTTTCAATTAAATTCAAAGAAATACATCCCGAAGGTGTGCATTCAGTTTGTCCCGGATCCAAATTAACGAAAACAATTTTATTCGAATTTGGAATAATTGCGTTGACTAGATATTTTGATAATGTCGATTTACCAACGGCTTTTCCACCAAAAATAAGATTTATCGATTGTTTATGTTCAAATTCTTCTATAATTGTGTCAATTATTTTCGTTTTCCATTCGGGATTTACAATTAATTGCTTGCTGGTTCTACCGAAACGTAAATTACTTTGTAGTATCATTTCTGCTCGTTTCAAATCGTTCCACGAATAAAATGTTTGATCTTCAATTTTTGGATATAATTTAAATGAACAATAGGTGTTGAGAAATGTCGTCAAGTGATTTATCAAGTTTTTCAATAAAATAATTGCCCAGCCTGATTGACACTGATTAATAAGCTGAACCAAAGAACTTTTGACATTTCGGTCTAGTCCTTCATTAACGAGTGTTTGCCACAATATTTCCTTATCGCAATTTAATTCACTAGTTTCTGTCTCAATACTAAGTAAACTATGACTTCTTGGCGAATAAACTTGATAACTTTCTGGTTTATTTAAAATAGCTCCGTAAATTTTAATCGCACCGTATAAAACTTGCACTTTCAATTTTCCACAGAACCAAAATATTGTCTCCGGTCTCATAACAACGAGAACCTTATTTTTTAAACAATAAAATTTTGGTAAATTGTCGCTTTCAATTTCCTCGTGATAAATTTCATTTGTTTGTTCCATATCTTCGTAAATATTTTCCTTTACACTCAATTCGGAAATGTTAGTTCTTTCGAATATATTCGAATTATCTGGAAAAAAATAGAAATTTGATAAATAATATAAATTACTTGAAGTAGAAACTTGAACATTTTTTTATATTTTACGTACCAAAATATTTATTACTTTCCGGTGAACTAATTTCGATGTCATTTTCAACATTTTGCGAAGTAAAATCAGTAGGCTCTTCATCAGAATTTGAATCAGCTTGAATAACGAGTGGTTTCTTAAGATTATTTTTAACTGGAGTTGTGAAATTAGAAATCTTTTCAATATTAGAAAATACGTTTTTCTTTGACGATCGTTTTCTGAAATCTAAACAAAGGTATTTTTTTCATAATCTGTTTTGAACCAATTATTCAACGAATTATTAAATTTATTAAATTAATACGATCCACAAGTTTTGAACGTTCAAATGAACGAAATATTTTTTAAAAATATTTTCATAAATTACTGATTTCAAAAATATTGTAAGAAAAATTTAATTTGAAGAAGAAAAATATAAATTTGGTTCATTTGAACGTTCAGAATTTTAGGATCATAAATTAATTAAATAGAATAAAAAAGTAACTTACTGGGATATAAGTTTGGAGTTAACTTACTACCCGTTGAAATTTCAAAATTATCTTCCATTTTTTCCATAGATTTTTTCGTTCCCTTCAAATTATTTATACTTTTGACCTTTCAGAAAATAAAAAGAATGAAGAATTATATTCTTTTAATTAAGTAGAGTCATTATAATAGTAAATAAACACGTTTTTTTACTATTGTTTTTGTTTACGAAAAAATGTCATGAAAAACATAACCTAAAAATTCTGTTTCTTAAGAAGAATCATTTCATTATTTTTACTTACTGTTTTCGATTATTTACTTTATTACAACTAATACTGACACATGTTGCTTTCTTAGTAGTAGAAATTATAACAAAAAATAATATTTTAATGAAAACTAAAGACCAAAAAGAAACACGTGGTGCAAAAAATATTTTGCTTTGTTGTTTACTTGTTCCATTCAGTTCCACTGTTCCTCTTGTTCATCAGATGAACATTAAAAACTGTGCGGGAAAAATTGAAATATTTAAAAAAAATTTAGTGCGAAATATAAAAAATAAAAATTAATAGTCAAAATACTTATCTGGTCTTGAAACGAAATCCAAAAAACGATGATTGCATCGAATTATTATAATAAATTTTTTCAAAAGAATTAAAAAAAATTCTACAAATTCTATTCGAACAAAAAGAAATGTTTTTTATTAGTTTTTATACGATATTATAAATCGTTTATTATTAACAGACAATCGTCTGAAAAAAATATAAATATAATATAGAAAAATATAAATAAATTAATATTAATATTTTCAATTAAATTAAAGAACAAAATTTACTTGCTTAATTTCGATAAAAATTATTCGATTTCTTTTTGCACTCAATTTTGAATACAAAACAAAGTAATCTAATAAAAATTACAATTATTAATGTAAATAATATAAAAATAACCTCACAAGCTGTAAGTTTGAATTTTATTCTAAATAGTTTTGAAAGTTTACAAAACTCACTTTAATCTCTCGCTCTGAAATTTATTTTATTGTAATTAAATTTTTTTAAATAGTACTTCAAACTTCACGTTTCGCAATTTTTTTCGCTGGACTTTTCACGTATGGCGATTTAATATTAAAGCTGGGTCTCTTTCCAGAAATTTCCGTCACTTTTCGTACATTATTTTCCATATTATTACGGCGGAGATTTTTTTGTTGTCTATATAAAAATTGATAGCCTGATGGTTTTGATGCAATTGGACGATGATTTAATTTTTCTTGTGGTGGAATGTTACTTGCGAAAAAGAAAAAGAATTATTTCAAGTTATATAATTTCGATAATTTAAATTTAACAAAGTAAGAAAAAATTCGAAAGCAAATTTCAAGAAATACTTGTGAGATAGTTCATTAATTTTTCTAAACGTTTCTCCCTCGTAATAATGATTAAATCTCCTGGCTCTTAAATTAGGATAATCCATTCTTAATGTGTTCCTCTTGATTGATGCCACTTTTTGCATTTTATTATGATTTTCATACATATTTCCATTATTTTGTATATTGGGAAATTTTGTTTCCGCTCCTTCTGGCTTGATTGACTGAAAATTGGTTTTTATGGATTAATTTGCAAATCATTATTTTGCAAAAAATGCAAAATTAATTATAAATTGTATTCTTCAATTTTACTGTTGTCTTGTGGCTCAATGGATTTCTTTGGGGAATTCTTGGAATCCATTGATTTGAATTTAAAACTTTTGGCTGAATAAATTCGCAGGATGCATTTCTTCTTGAATCGTTTGGTAGAATTCTGGAAAACTGAAGAATAAAATTTTTGAATATATTTGAAATATATTTGAAATAAAATTGAAAGAAAAGGTAAAAATTGTAGAAAAAGAGGTTTTAACGTTACTTTCGATTTTCTTCGCTTTTGTGCCAAAACGTGATTCATAAGAGCAGGATTTCTCCAGTTTTGAGAATTTTTTTGAGAAGCTTGCGTTACACTTCTTGTAATCCTCGGCGATTCTTCCCTGAAAAAAATAATAAATAAATAATAAGAGAATTTGAATTTAAAAATAGTAATTAAATAGTAAGAAAAATAGTAATTAAAATACTTTAGTTCATTGAAATAACGATGATCCAAAAGTCTTCTCACATTGCTCCTGAATTCCGGATCGTAAATTAGCATCAATCGCAAAAGATCTTTTCCAGCTTCACTCGTCTGTGGAACCAGGGAATAAAGACCCTGTCCTTTCTTCGACGAAAAGAAGAAGCAATTTCGAAGTTTTCTATACAAAAATAAAATTACAATTACAAAATTAATACAAATAGTAAAAAATTTCTTTCCAATTCTCACTGTTTTCGAAATTTTGCCACTAATCTTGTGTGAGGTGTGCCGAGAATATTGTGAATTTTTGAAATCTGATCCAATTCGTTCGATCCAGGAAAAAGGGGTTTCAATCTATATTTAAAAAAATCCATTCCATTTGATAGGAAAATAGATAAAAATAGAAATAGAAATTTTTGTTCCCAAACTGACGTTAATAATTCGTAGAATACACAACCAGACGCCCAAATGTCCATTTTTGGTCCATAATATCCAGTTGTCAGTAAACACTCAGGTGGGCGATACCATCTCGTTGAAATATAATCAGTATACGGTGGTTTACTGTAAATTCCTTTAATTGATCCTAAATCTGCCAATTTTACCGAATCGCCCTGCGAAAAAAAAAATTAATTAATTTCTAATTCGAAAAAATTCGGAAAAAATTCAAAAAAAATTTATAAATAGAACATTTTTTCCAAATACCTTTATTAGAATATTTTCCGGTTTTATATCACGATGAAAAATTCCATGCTTGTGTAAATGCTCCAATCCTTTCAATAGCTGATGTAAATACAATTTCACTTTATGCTCCATAATTATTTGCCTGAAAGAAAAAAAATGCGACAAAATAAATATAATATGTACAAAATTTATAATTAAAAATCAATTACCCTTTTCTCGCTTTCATCATGACAAAAAGACTCATGTCCATTAATTCAAAAATCAGTGTCACTCTACCAGACAAGGAATCACTGTTAAATAGTAAATTCTAGTTTTACAATAATCAAAAATCGAAATTATCAAAAATTATCCAAATAAATAGACACTTACTACAAACATTCGAGTACATACAAAACATTTGGATGTCTAGTAATTTTTCTCATTGTCGAGACTTCTGGACATTCTAAAATTTCCTTAATACTGAAATAAATTTTTTTCCAAAAATTATAATCAATATTAAAAGAAAAAAATTTTTTCTTCTTCTCGAAAAATGTTAACTTACTTAAAAAAAGTTTTCTTTAAACGTTTCGCTGCAAATAATTCACCAGACACTCTATTTTGACATTTTAAAACATCCGAGAATGAACCTTCGCCAATTTTCTCAATTGCCTTATATTCTAGTAGAGAAAAAATAAAATTTCAAAATTAAAACACTTTTCGAAAAGAAAAACAAAAAATCCTAACCCATAGAAAGCGGAAAATTAACAAACTTTTCAAAAATGTGTCGGACATAATTTAAAATTGTATTGCAGGCGCATATAAACTTTTGGTTTAAAAACAAATGGTTGATTTTCTTGTATACCATCTTTTGATGAAAACTAGTCAAAAGAAAAATATTTGTTTAAAAATAAAGGACATTCATGACAAAAAAAAAGATACTCCACTGTTTTTGACAGTCGATATCATCTGTTCTCTTTTTCTACAATTTTTCACTTCTAATCCTATTTTTACTTCCAACTTCTAAATCAATTGTAATTAATTAATTAATTAATTAATTAATTGTTTAATAATTAATTTAAATTAAATTTAAATTATGTCCTCGCGATGAGAAATTAGTACAAAATTGCAAAACAAAGTCAAGTAAGGACTTGATATCTTTATTTTTTTTCGTATGATTACATTTTATATATATTTATATATCAATCATAATTAAAGTTTACATATAAATATATTCATATTATTGTTTATATATTTATATGTCAACGTATGTGTTTGTTATAATGCATTGGTAATGATAGCATAAATGTGATTCTCAAAGTATACGAATAATAATTTTCTCTCTCTCTCTCTAAACTAACACAGTTATTTAAAAACAATAGTTTAAATGAAGAAATAATTTTTCATCGAGTTATTATTACAAGAATTTCGTAAATATTTCTACAATACCGAATCCTCTACAAGTGAACGTTCGTTTTTTTTATGTATATTTATGACAAGAATAATTAGTATACTACAATTATTAATTACAGAAAAAATACTCCTTTCAATAGTTATCAAGAGCTGATAATATATATTCATTTTGATTTTAGTCACTTAAAAATTTACCAATCAAGCAATCAATCAATCAATCGTATTCTCGAGGTCTCAATTAAGCTATCTTTCACATTAAATCTTTTATAATCCTCTCAAATAGCATCTCATATTCTATTATAGAATTAAAAATCTCTTTCAGTCATTAATTCACAACTACAAAAAAAAGAGACGAACAAATTACAAATTTAATGCAATTTATTGCAAAAATGGACAAAAAAAAGAATTTTCTGTCCCAACAAAAAAACATTATTCTAAATGTCACCAATTTAAAAAAAAGTACAATTAATCTTTTTAATCTCCAATTTTTTTTTCTTATTTTAGATTGGAATCATTTTTTTCAAAATCTTTCTTCTTTATCGTTCTTTTTTACCAAATTTAACATTCTTTTTTATTCTCTCAAATAAAATATTCAAGAAATTTTTTTATTTAACAGAAACAATCATCTCTTAAATAAAATATTCAAAAAATTTTTTATTTAACAGAAATGATCAGAAAGTTAAATCCCTTCGTTCAAAGACAAAAAAAATGAAATGCCTGAGATTAGTAAAATTTGTTCTTTTTTCTTCATTTAGACCACATTGCCAAGCACCACTACAATTATCAAAAATTGAAATTTTCCACAAAAAAAAAATCGAATGTTACAAATATTCGACATAAATTTTAATTTAAAAAAGAACCCAGAGAATAAGATGTCCCTTCATTTCTCGACTTTTAATTTTACAGAATCTTTCATTTCCAAAAAAAAAAAAATAGAAGAAGAAAAAAGGCAAATATTGACATATTTCTAACATAGTCAATTACATGTTTGAAAACAATTTGTTAAAAGAACAAAATTCTGTCCAATCGATGTTTATAAAAAAGTCATAGTGACAAAAGTTGAAACAATTTCATTCAAAATTCAAATTCAATCTTTGATTTTTTAAAGAATTTAAATCTCATTTACAATAAGGTAATATTAGTTATATTATTTTTATTATTATCGTAGAGATAATAATAATTTTTTTTATCAAAACTAATTTAATTTAATCAAAACTTTTTAAGAAAAGTTGAATTGAAAGATTTTTTGATCTTTTTCTAAAAAGTCAGATTCATTCGAATTCGAATTTTCAACGAAAATAACATTATCAATCGAATCATACTACAAACTAGAATCGCACACGCAACTAACAAAAGTTGTTACAAGATTTTCTTTCAATTTTTTTCTTTTCTTTAGGAGTGGTGCGGGACAAAGTGGTCTCATCGTAAAAGTCCATTTCTTTCTGTTTCCTCATTTTTTTTAATTCTTAAAATCGCTTTCACTAATTTGAATGAATTTAAATGAACAGTACCTTGCACTTGTCACTCAGTTTGAGTGCAAGCGCGAGTCCTCCATCGCTGCATCGTAATAGAACATGAATGCGTGAACACAGGATGAACCCGGATGAGTGCGGAATCCACCTCATTTCTTTTCCTTTTTCTCTCACCTATTTATTCCTAAATTCTTTTTCTTTTCCTCAAGTGACAAATTCTAGTTCTTTTCTCATTTTCAAAAATCAACGGGTTTTTAGACAATTTCAGTTTAAAAAAAGAAAGGCTAACGAAAATTAATCTTTTAAAAAAAAGAAAATATCTGAGAAACTTTGTTACTTTTTTTCCTCTTTTTCATGGAATTTTCAAATTGGATAAACGAAGCTCTTATTCAAAACAAATGCCATTAAAGTGTATACATAAAATATTTATTTTTTCTTGAGCAATTTCTTGCACAACAAAATTATTAAATTTGTTTTTCTACTAAGAAAATATAAAAATATGTACAATAAATTAGTAAGTATAAAGACAATAGGTACAATACTATCACTGTACAGTACCACACATCGACTTTTTTGTTTTCTTAGAAAATTAGTCGGAAAATTATCTATCCGCGTTTAAATGACTTTTCACGGTGTATAAAAATCGAGATCATGGGTCTCGATTACTTTTTCTTTTCTATACAATTCTCATTATTAAAAATTATTCCACACTCGATAAGTTCTTTTAATCATTTTTTTGAAATTTAATCGTCAAGTGCAAAAAAAAATTCCAAAAAGATTGATTTCAATTTCAATTTTTCTTGCTTTTTCGTTTAATTACAATAATTTAAGTTAAAAATAGAAGTTCATTATGATTTAATTTAAAAATTAGTACAAAAAACGAACTAAACTAAAATCAAGGAAAAATTGTTAATTATTCAAATATAAATCTTTTTGGGAAAAAAATAATTTTGTTACGAAAGAATAAAAAAATGTACACGATCTGTTTTCTTTTTCGAGATAAATAAAGGACTAGAAAAAAAATATTTAAAAAAAGAGTTAAAAAAAAGAAAAAAGAATTTGATAAGCTTTGAAACATACCCGAGTGTTTTTTTTTTTGCTATCACCTACAAAAAAAGAAATAGGTAGGTCCTGTGTTCACTATCACAGTTATGTTTAAGCAGCAGATATCGATCAAGAACTCTCTTTCTTTTTTCTCAAACGGCTCAAAAAACGATTGCTTTTTTTTAAAGAGAAAGTTTTAATGATAAAGACTCACTGGACCCAAAATGCTCCCTCACCACTCCGGAGTCAAAAATACTTTAGTTATCCTCTTACGGATTTTCACTTCCTTATGTACACACTCAGGACCATATTTTACACTTGAATTTTTCTTTTTCTTCATAAATCTAGCAAATCTCTCTCGTTTTTTTCGAAAGGGTTCGTTACAAGGAAGATTGTTCCTGTTCCTGTTGCTCACAAGGTCCTTCACTAACAACACATTCACTAACTGCTTCACGTTCTGGTTGCTTCTCCTCAATTGGAAAATCAGCCTTCATCTCCATTGGTGGTTCGGGTTCGTAAAATTGTTCATTATTCTCCGGAGGTGGAAAAACTTGATTCACCATTTGCGGCTCACTAGGAGGAAGAGGAGGTGGAGGAGGTTCGAATTTCTCATTAACCACAATGTTCTCGGGAGGTTGGAAATTATCTTGATTATTGGCAGATTCAAAGTTTTCATTATTGGCAGGTTCAAAATCTTGAGTTTTATTCGTTGGTGCAAATGATTCGTCAGATTGTTCAATGGGTGTTTCGAAACACTGATTATTAGTTGTCTTCTCATCGTTGATTGATTCATTTGGTTCGAGTGGTGGTTTCGGTGGATTGAATTTGGCATCGTCGAAACTCTCGTTTTCTGTGCCTGGTGGTCGTTCGTCGTTCACTGATTCATTGAATTTACTTGAATTATGTTCACCCTCGAATTGATCGGTTGATTGTCGTCTCGGTCTTTTTTCGCCTTCGGGTCGTTCAGAATCGGCGGCTTCATCTGCCATTGATGATGGACTGACATTGCCCCATCTTGATTTGCGACTTCGATTACGATTCTCACGATCTGTTGTTGATGATGACGATGATGTTCCACTTTTATTATGATCTGGAAACTTGGACTTGGGATGATGATTGTCGCGTTGAGTGTGTTCATCAAGATCGACGGGACCAGCTGGCTCCATCCACGGTCCATTCTCTGGATTTCTCCAGGGTCCATCGTGTGGTCCCTTTGGACCCATTGGGCCGAATGGTGGTCGAAGTAGAGGACCAGGTGGGCGATGAACGTCGTCGAATGGCGGCCGGAAGAATGGCTCCTTCTCTCTGGCATCAAATTGCGGTCCACGTGGTCCAAATGGTGGTCGCATTCCGGGCCTCATGCCACGTGGTCCCATTCCCCTTGGATGGAACATTGGCGGACCTGCGAAAGCAAATTCGAATTAAAATTTTGAAAATAAAGTACAAAAGAAAAAAGAAAAGCAAATTCGAATGGAAATTTTGAAAATAAAGTACAAACGGAAAAAAAACACTAGTTGTAACATTTTGATAATTTAGTATTTCAATTAATTTATTTTTATGCTAAAATTTAATGAATCAATTTTGAATCAATATCAAAGTTTTTTAAAATGTAAAATATTAATTGGAAATTTGAAACATTTTTTTTTTTTTGCATTTTGAAAGGAAAATAACTTTAATGAAGTTCATAACGTTTAAGATCAAAGATTTAGAATAGAAAATATTTTTTTAGAAAATTCTATATAAATACCGTAAATTCTGAAAGAAAGTATAATGTAATAATAATAGTATTTTTAAGTATAATAATAAAAATATTTTAAATTTGTGGGAGAAGAATAATAATTTAGTAACAAAATTTAAGAAATATTAATCGTTACAGCACATTCAAAACTTTAAAATAAAACCTAGAGTAGAAAATGAAAATTCAGATTCCTTTTAAAGTCTTCAATTCAATTCGAAAATTTTGATAAATAAAAGAAATTAGTTTTATAAGGGTTGCCACAAAAATGTAGTTTTGTTTTTCTCTGACTTTCCCCTGATTTTCAGACAAAATTTTGACTTTTTCCCTGCGACCCTTAAAAATATTCTAATTCACTGTAAAAATGATTAGATATTCAAAAAATTTTCTGATACTTTTATTTGCAAATTTCTTTAATTGTAAAATTATACGAAAACATGAATAACTCATTTTTTAAAAAAAATATTTAATCATTATTATTTTTCCATATGAATTAAGATTTTCAAAAATTTTTAAATTCAAACCTTTTGAAATTTGAAAATTTATAAAAATTGCTAACTGTAACCCCTCCAAAATTATCTACATGATTTCAATTCAATTTTCTGGAATTTTTAACTAAAATTCTCTAAATCAATTATTTTTATTAATTTTTGTCAAAATTCGTTAAAAATCCAATGATTCAAAAAATAAAAATAAATTTACTTAAATTAATTTTGAAATACACTTGTTTACAATTCAATTTTATTAAATTTCAATCATTCGGAAATTCTTTAATTAAAAATATATTAAAAAAGAAAAAATTCAAAATTCAATTATTTTAAATAATTTTCAGAAAATTCTTCTCTAAATCAATTATTTTTAATAATATTCAAAGAATTCTTTTCTACATTAATTAGTTTTAATAATTAAATAAATATTAAAAAATTTAACTAATTTTAAAAGAATTTGAATTAAAATTTTTCAAAAAACAAAGTTCAACAAAATTTCTAGTTAAATTCATTAAAAATTGAAATTTCCTAAAATTTCATTTTGAAACGTTTTAAAATACAAATACTTTTTGAAATAATTGAATAAATTTATGTAAAATTATTAATTAAATAATTTATAAGTAATAATTTTACAATAGTTTTTCAAGAATTAAATTGTTTTAAATACATTCAATTTCACATTCTATAAAGTTCAAATATTGTCAGAAATACAAACGAAAATAAGTTTTTTTTGTTTTTTTTTTGTGATTTCAAACAAAATTAATAAAAAATCGTTTTTACTTTAGAAACAATGAAGCTAAATGAATTTTATGTTTGAACTTTTAAAAATTAAAATAAACTTTTTAATAATAAAAATTTTTCCATACGTTTTGTTAGGCGGATTTTGATCTTATGAAAACTGTGAAATTATTTTATTTAAAGTAGTTTTTGCTAATTTTTCATTGCAAACATGCTTAGAATATAAATAAACAAAACTTAACTTTAATTAAGATTAGAATAAGTATTAAATTTAAAAAAATTGAACATTTCGAAATATTTTCTTTTATCATGGAAATTCCGTTCCGGAATTTCAAAAATATTAAAACATGACAAATTAATTTAATAAAATTGAATGAAATAAAAATTAAATTTATAACGAAAAGTAAAGATATTTTTTGTTTATGAAAAATCTGTAAAAAATTACCATGTGGTCCACGTGGGCCGATTCCAGGACCTCTGGGTCCAAATCCATCGGGGCCCATTGGAGGACCTCGGGGACCTCTTGGTCCCATCATTGGTGGTGGTCCAAAGCCGGGTTCCATTGGTCCATGGAAGAAATCACCGCCTCCTCTCCTCCTGTGATCGAAATCGGGATGTTCGCTGATATTCCTACCGTCAAATCCGTCCTGCATTCTTGGATCAAAACCCTCACGTTGACGCATCTCGAATTCAAAACGCTCTCGTTCAAAATCGTCCACTGGATGCCGTCCCCTCATGTCCGGCCTCTCGAATTCATCACGTGGTGGTCCCAATCTAAGATCGAAGTCCTCCTGACGCGGTCCCGGTCCTATTCGATTTTCAAAGTCCTCCGGAAATCGTCCGCCGAGCATTCGCGCATCGGGAAACTCCTCAAGTCCCCGCATTGGTGGTCCAATTGAACCCCGCCGTCCAAAGTTCGGTCGCTCGCGATCACCAGGACCACGAGGTGGAAAATCACGTGGATGTTCCGGTGGAGCGTCTGGTCCACGAGGATGACCGCGGAATTCGGGTCCACGTAGTGGAAATTCGGGTCTCTCTTGCGGGAATTTCGGCAAATCCATCAGCGCCGGTGGTGCATCATTTGCTCGACGTACGGGCGGAGCGTCAATTCTCTCACTGCTGCGATTACGATTTCTCTCCATACGATCGTCGATAGGCAGAGTTCCATCCGCCAATTGACGGAGGCGATCGGCGAGACTCATTTTTGCTTCCTTTTTACCCGATGTCTCACTATTCGCATTAGTTGAAGGTGGATTATTCTCCTGATGTCTCGAACTTGAATCTCGACTATCACGGTCGCGCTCTCGTCTCTCGTCACGATCCTTATCACGATTGTCGCGTCTTCGATCACGACCTCGATCTCTTCCACGGCCACGATCTCTGCCACGATCATGTCTGTCACTCTCACTGCGATCGCGAGGACCTCTGTCACGATCGTCACGATCTCTTCTGTCGCGACTGTCGCGATCTCGGTCCCTATCACGAAAATCGCGATGAGACGATTCGTTGTCCAAACGGCTGTCTGGTCCTTTTCCAATTGCAGCTAAAAGTTGATCACTGAGACTCTGTTGTTTTTCTTTTGGAGGATTGCTTGTTGTCGGAGGCATTACGTCTTCCATTTCCACGTCCATGTCGTCCGAGTTATGTTGCTGTTGCTGTTGATGATGATGCTGCTGAGCTAAGTGCATCTGCATTTGAGGTCCGACGCCAAAGGGCTGACGCATCATTGGCAAACTGGGTAAATTGGATTCTGAAGTGGGTGGCGGAACTCCAAGCGGTGGAACGTTTGGCGGCATACCTATAAAGAAAATTCAGTCATAATTTATCATTTTCTCAGACATCAAAGTATCACAAAAATTTAATTTTCTTTTTCCCTGACTTCCAGACAAAATTTTCACTTTTTCTCTAACCCTAAATGAATATTCTGATTTACTCTAAAAATAATTAGATACTCAAAATGTTCTATTACATTTATTTACGAATTCTTTCATTGTAAAATTATTCGAAAAAATCAATAACTTTTTTTTTAATTAAATATTTAATCAATATTATTTTTCCACAGGAATTAAAATTCTTCAAAACATTCAAATTCAAATCTTTTTGAATTTCAACAACTCAAAAGAAATCGATCACACCGAGTCTTCGACTCGGAATGATCGAATTCTTCATGTTTTATAATAATTAAAGATGGCCTAGTGATAAAATCATTATTTTATATTATAAGAATACTTTTTGAATAATTTCATAATCAAAAATAAAAGTTTTACTTATTAAGTACATAATTATTATTGATTATATTTTCAAAAATCTTAATATAATTCTTCGCAAAAATTCAATTATTTTCATAAATAATAACATTATTCGGAAGAATTAAATTATTCTTATAAATGGTAAAATTCTTCGCAAGAATTCAATTATTTTCAATACAATTTTAATAAAACTTCTAAGAAAAAATTCAATTATATTGAAGATAATTTTAATAAAATTTCTCTAACATGTTCAATTATTTTTAAAAGTTTTAATAAAATTTTTCAAAAGAATCCAATTATTTTCTAAAATTTTAATGAATGCATCGAACAATTCACTTATTTTTGTAAGTAGTAAAATATTATAAAATTGAAAAAAAATTGTTCATAAAATTCAATTATATACAAAATTTCCAATTAAAATGATTAAATGATTAAAGAAACTTCAATATTTTAAAAAAATTTTTTAAATTCTTCAAAAGAAAGGATTTTTCAAAAATTTTAATAAAATTCTGTTCAAGAATTCAACTATTTTCATAAATAATAAAATTCTTAGAAGAACTTCAATTATTCTCAAATTTTTTGATAAAATTCTTTGCAAGAATTCATAGATTTTCAATATATTAATATTAAAATTGAAAATATTCAAAGAGAAAAACTATATAAAAAAAATTATTAAGCAAAATAGCAAACAAGTACAACAGTAACTTCAAATTGCAAACAGATTACCAGAATACAACAATTATTAATATAGATTGTTACTCTTAAAGAATTTTATCAACAAATTTTTAAATAATTGAATTCTTTCGACGAATTTTAATAAAATTTTTAAGAATAATTACATTTTTTGAGAAATTCGATTAAAATTATATTAAAATAATTTAAATTTTGCAATGAGTTTATATTATGTTGCGATGTTAATAATCTAAATAAAAAATAACGCACTGAATTCTAACATTCTAACATTGAGTGTAAATTTTATGTTTACATATCGAAATATATTTAAAACAAAAAATAGAAAAGAAAACTTTTTTATTTTTTATTATAAAAGGGTGAAAATGAGAAAAATCTTCAATAAAAGGGAAAATGGTAAAAAATCATCAAAAAAGGTAAAAAAAAGTGTCAAAATTGAAAAAAGGGACAAAAGGGGGAACTTGATAAAACAAATTAAATTTTTCAAAATTTGATATTTAAAGATCAAGTAAAATAATACATACCAGTTGAATTGGGTTTATCGGAAGGAGCAGCAGGCGCAGGAAGTGGAATTTGAGTGAGTAATCCAACGTTGACTCCTGCTCCGAAAGGTGTATTGACCTGTGATGGCATCATTTGCTGCATCATACCCGGGGGACCAAGTAGTCCTTGCATATTTGGTGGCGGAACTCCAATTGGAACATTTGGCATCAAGCCGTGTGGCATTTGCAAGCCCATTGGTCCTAACATACCTGCAATGTATTCATACAAATTGTAATTTTTTTTATTTCTCCAATTTTACTATTGTATAAAATTCCACATCTTCAATTTTACTATTAAATTATATTTCATTTCTTCAATTTTACTATTAAATTATATTCCATTTCTTCAATTTTACTACTTTATAATTATATATAAATTTCTTTGTTTAAATAAAAAGAAATATATTATTATTAGAAAAATCCCATGTTTTCGATAACAAAAATTGTTAACATTTTTTTTACATATTTTGAGTTTTTAAGTTTTTAACTTACGTGGAACATTGGACATAGGAAATCCTGGTGGCATCATTTGCAGCTGAGGATTTGGCGGTGGTGGCGGCAGCAGAGGCGCAGAAGTTGGCGGTCTTATAGGTGGCGGTTGACTAGTATCCAGTAATTGTTGAGGTGCTTGATTTTCATTTACGTTTCCAACTGTTTCAGGCAATTGTATTCCTCCTGGAGGTAAATTGTGCATTTGTAATTGTTGACGCACTCCTTCTGCGTTTATCGCATGTTTCAATTTACCTGAAAAAAAAGAACAATTTTCTAGTTAACAAAACTGTGATTGATAATTTAGTAAATTGGAATTTAAAATTGAAAATTAAAATTCCTAATTGAATAGACATTAAAACTAAATTTTAAATATCAAAACGTACAAATGCCGGTTCCTTGTTACACTTTATCGATAAAATCCCACGTAACTAGATTAAAAATTGCAAATAATATAAAAAAGACAGTAAACTAACCTTTCAATCTCATAGGCAATGTGTCTTCATCAATCATTCCACCTTCTTCCAAAAGTTCGAGTTCTTGTTCAGAAATATTGTTCAATTTATTCCAAGGAATATAGCTCACTCCCAATTCCACTTCCCAGTAATCCTTCCATTCCTTTCCCTTAACTCCTTTACCCGGAGCCCACGCCAGCTGAAAAAATATTTTTTTTTTAAATATTTTATAAAGAAATCGATCACTCAAAATTTTTTTTTAAGTCCCCCATTTTTTTTCATAGTTTTAATTTATTTTTCCAAGAAAAATTGTAGATTACTCACCGTAATTGCTTTTCCCTGCATTTTCTGATTTTTCAGTTTCGTCAGAGCACGATAGGCATCTTGTCTTCGATTCATACAAATGAATGCACAACCTCGAGGGGAAATTAAATCAATACTAACAATGTCTCCTAATTCTCCAAAGGTATCGGACAATTCTTCCTGGTGCACCAATTTTGAAAGATGACCCACCCAAAGTGTTGTACTGCAAACTGAAAACGATATTTTTGGTGTAATTGAAATTTTCCAATTTGAATTAAAAAGAAAAGAGATTATTTTAGTAATTTTCCACGTACCACTGAGTTTCTCTCGAACAATTGGAGGAAGTCCTCGCTTTCTACGTTCTCGTTCCTTTTCTCTTTCCTCCTCGGTTAATTTCTCTCGACTATCGTCTCGTTTTCTGTTACGATCTCTTGAGCGTGATCTAGAGTCAAATTTAAGAAAATAAATAAAGGAAAAACAAAGCAAATAAATAAAAAAATAAAATACAAAAATCCTAAGGAAATTATTACCTTACTCGTCTCGACCTTGACCTTGATCGAGACTTTCTGTCGCGGTCTCTGTCCCGTCTGTCTCTATCTCTATGTCGAGGTGATCGAGATCGACTGTGACGACGATAACGTTCCGGCGAGCGACTTTGGGATCTCACTGGTTCGTTGACTATCTCCACACTGCTACTGTCTCGCCTCTCAGTGATGCTCCTACTGTTTCGACAAAAATTACGTTTTAGTCTAAGAATTTACGGTAATTCAATAAATTTATATTTTATAATTGAAAAAAATATAATATAAAAAAACTCTCGGTGATTAATTCAAGATTTCGAAAATAGAAAGTGGAAATGTTCAGGTAAAATGTAAACTTGTAAAAATTACCTTTCATCAATAAGAGGACTTTGTGAAGGAGGTGGTGGACCTGGTGGCAATGTTCTAATTAAAGGAGGTGGTTGCGACGTAAAAGGCAGAGCAGGCGGATAACCAGGAGGCGGTTGACTCATATCCTGCTGTATCAATCCCGAATTCGAATTACCAGGAAACAATCCTTGATTTGGTTTCAATACGTCTGAAGGTTTTAATTCACACTCAGAAGCAAACGGAAGATTCTGAAATATTCGTTCAAATAACAATTTCTAGAATCATAGAAATAGTATAATATTAATAAAATTAATAATAATAATCATAATAAACATAATAATAAAAATACAAATAATAATAAAAAATAAAAATAGATAAAATAAATATCACCGATAAATAATAATAAACTTTTTTTGAGAAAATATAAAACTCCTTTTTTTCGGAATTGAAACTTACTGGAACAGTTTGAGCAAGATGTTTATCGAATTCCTCCTCTTGTTGTTTCATTTGTTGTAATTTTCGCATCTTCTCCTCCATCTCCTGTTGCGATTGTCCGGTTTGCATTGTTTGTTGCAGTGTTTGTAGCTGCCTCAAAACTTCGGGATTCGTCAATAAAAGTCCCAAACTCTCAAGACTTCCTGTCGTTGATACGGCATTATGTTGATTGACATTCGGATTTAAAACTGGTGAACTGCTTGTGACAACAACATCGTCGTCTTCTTCCTCGCCATAATCGAAGTCAAGTAGTTTCTTGTCGAACTTCACTGAACTTTGAGCCTCATTCGCTGCCTCTTGTTTCTTTAACAATAATTGTTGTAAGTGTTGCAATTGATCTAGAATATTCACGTCAACCTGATTCGAACCAGATTGTCCCTGAAAATAAAGTTGGTTAAAATGGACGAAAAAAGACAAAAAGCGAAAAAAAAATTAAAAGTAATAGAAAATTCCTCCATGAGGAAGTAATTAGAAATAAAGCGAAAACAAATAAAATTTGTAACAAAAATGCAGGGCTCAAACAAGTGAAAGTAATTAAAAATACGGACTTTACGAACCAAAAGTGAATGAATTAAAACTATAAATTAAATTTTTTCTCATTGAATTAAGGAAAATTTTTTAATATAATTGAAATTTTTTCCAAGAATTTTATTAAAATATGTGAAAATAATTTAATTTCGAAAAAGAATTTTATAACTTTTAAAACTAATTGAAATTTTGACAAGAATTTTATTATTTCTAAAAATAATTGAAATTTTGACGAGAATTTTTTTTTAATTTTTTAACATAATTGAATTTCTGCGAAGAATTTGATTACTTTTGAAAATAATTGAATTTCTACAATCATTTGTAATTTCTCTAAAATTCTCCAAATTATATCGTACAATTTACGAACTTTTTGTCCTAGTTTTCTTTCAAATTACGGACTTTACGGACCTTTCTTCAAAAAATCGGATTTTTACGGACTTGAAGCAAATTTACGGACCTTTACAGAATTTACGAAGCTAGTTCGAGCCCTGAAAATGAGATGAGTAGAAGAAACAAAATTCGATAATCAAGCAGAAATAAAAAAAAATTCCTTTGAAACACCAGAACTCTTATCGAAAGAGAATAGTTATTCCAGAGACGTAACAAACACAAAAAACTAACCAAAAGTTTATGTGCGTTTACCATATTGGCTGTTTCCATTTTCGTTTGAGCCAACCAGGCTGGATCGATGGTTTTCGTACTGGAAAACATTTTTGGATCTTTCGATGCACTTTTCATTGTCGGCGATGCTTTAGCATTTGCACTAGCTGCATTTACTCCTAAAAAATGCCAAACACTATTAATCATATTCCTTAGATACTTAAAACGAGAAAAATTCTTTTTCCTTGAATAATTTACCATTTGTACTGATTGATTGCTCCTTATGTATTGGATGATTTGGATCGACAAGATCGAAGAGCGGTTGAATTACTTCTGGTGGGAAGACGGCATTCTTTTGCCATAAATTTAAAACACGAATGACTTTACTCTTGTCTTCGGCAGGACACTTGAGTAAATTAAGGAATGTCATTTGCATATTTTTTGCGAATCTTGGGGCAAAAACATCTTTTTCAACTCCAAATTGATGTCTCGATTGTCGGACAATTGAATCAATTACATAGAGACCTGGTACCTTATACTCAGGTTTACACTGAAAGTAAAAAAAAATTTAGTTTTAAAAATGCAAAAATTCTTTTTTTTCGTAAATAAAAACTTACTTTTTGTATAAACTTTTCCACACTCTGAACAACATGTTTGTAAAATTTAATGGCCTTGATTGCACCTCTTGTGAGTGAATTCATTTTGGCTTTTGATATCGGTGGCTTGACATCGTACAGAGCAGAAAGCTGAAAATAAACAATATTTTGTAAATACATTCACAAATTCAAATAAATTACATCTAATTTCAGAAAGTTTTCATATTTTTTCTCTTTCTAATTCTCTAATTTCTAAAATTTTTCTAAAATGAAATTTTTAAATTCTAAATTTCCCATCAAGCGATTAAAATATAGCATTTTTTTCAAGCATATAAAGTACAAACTGATATGGCTGATCATATATCAAATTAATGGGCAAGTCCATAAATTGTAAATTAATCATGTTTACACAATGCAATCAATTTACAAAAGAAAATAACGAAATAAAGCAATTGAGTGGATATAAACTAAAAATAAGTGGGAAAAATTGAAAAAATTCGATGTATTTTAAATAAAATTGCATGCGGCGTCAGTTGAAAGCTCTGATAATACAGAGGTATGAAGTTTGGTGTTTGATTGTAAAAATTGAGATAACTATTTTGTTTGAATTGTTGGGAAAGATAATAAATTGTGATGCTTTAAACATGAAGGAAAATGCACCGGACGTGAATAATTGTGGAGATGTTTTGCTAATCGGCCCTGATGAAAGGGAGGGTTGCCCTTTCAACGATGACCTCCAACGGGAAGGAAAAATTCTCACCTCTGCATTGAATGCTTTTACAGCATCCATCTTTGTAGATTTGTGCGACACGCACTATCACTATTTATTAATTATTTCCATACGTAGTAGCTCACTTGGTTTTAAGAAATATAATAATCTTTTTTTACTATCGCGCACTTCGTTAACAGAGCCATGCCATTCAAGATGGCAACTGCTTTGCCCAGAATGCATTGCTTCACATGACGTCAGTTTTTCTGTTCAATCGGTAAATGCAGAGTTACAGCGGCCAATATTATCGACAGTATAATTTTTCTTCATTCACTTGTGTGAAACATTTTCCGGTGTTTTTTTTCTAAAAAAATGTTACAAGATCAGTATTTTAAAAACTAAAAGTGAAAGATAGAGAATGTCTTCAAATTCTGGTTTTGAAAGAAAAGATGATAATGAATGGAGGAGAAATTTGTCGATGAAAGAGAATACTTTGTATGGTATTCCACCTTACATGCCTATTTTAATTGAAAACATTCCAGATTATGTGCAATTAAAGGACTTTGAATTTGATCGAGTTAAAGAAGTGCAAACTGTGGGAATAGTTTATGGAAATGGATGGCAAGAAGCTTTAATTCATAATTGTACTAAAGATAATCATATCTCAATAAAATTGACATTTGCATGTTGTAGACATGAATCACTGCAAAAATCTGGTTACATGCCGGTATTTTATATTTCATTTTTTTAATTATTTAGAAAAGTATTAAGTTTCTAATAATTTTGTTTTAATTACAGGGAAAAAAGATACCTTGCAAATTATTTGGCAGATTAATTAATTATGAAGGAAAACCTCTGTTAGAGGTTCATCATTTTTGTAAAACAAATGATATGGAAGGAAGCTTAAAAACAATCACAATGCTTTCAGAATTAGTGAGACAAAAGTATCATTATTATGCGTGTTCTAAGAATCCTTAGTTATTAATTATAAATGTAAATAACAATAATACTAAGAATAATAAATACATTATTTTTGTTTAAATCGTTTGAAATGAACATTGAATATTAGTCAATTTATAGGTTATGTTTTTGTAAACAAATTTAAATTTTTTAACCCTGTGAAGTAGGCGCATAAGTTCTAAGGGAGCATACACACAAAAATAAGAAATGAATCGCCAGTCGTTGATTGGCTGATAACAAAAAATACAAAAATTAAGGGAAAAGTTTAATTACCAAAACCAATCAAATTTGTGTACTTTTTCTAAGGTTGAAATCATTTTGCATTTTTGGTGCATTCACAAGATTTTTGAATAGTTGGTAACACTGACTCATTTTTTAGAATTCAGACAAATTCACACCCTTCAGAAAACACCTTCATCCCGCCAATTTACTTCTGTAGTATTTCTTTTAGCTCAAGTTTAATTAAATTTTAAACACTAAAGAATAAATTAAAGAGAGTATTATTAAATAACCTCACCTGGTGTTGATTATAAATAGGTAAAACAACTCGTTTATCAAATCATTCAAAATGCCGGCCAAACGAGGCAGACCAAAGAAGCAGGTTAGTTTTTCTTTTGTTCTCATTGGTTCCATAATATCTAAAAGATTTTTAATGATTTCAATCAAACATTAAATAGAAAATAAAAATAATTTCTAATGATAAACATTTTATTCAATTTTATCCTAAAAATGATTCGACAGACTTTTCATGTCCTTGTGAGAAATTTGTCTTTTACAAGAAATTTAATGTCCGCACTAAAAAATGTTCATCAAGCGCAAAAGGTGTAATTATTAGAGAATAAATCATTTTTTTAAAATAAATTATTACTTTTTTTCTTAGGGAAATGATGCAAGTCAGGAAAATGAAGAAAAGAAGGAAACAACCCAAAAAAAGATGAAAAGAGATTCAGATTCAGATGAGGAAGTTAAAGAAGAAGAGCCTGCATCGAAAAAAGCTAAAACAGAAACAAAGGACACCAAACCAATGGTGAACAAAACTGATTCAGACTTGAGTACAATTGATTTCTCATGCAAAAAACTTAATGCGGATGGAGAAGCTTATAATATTAAAATTTGTTCCTGGAATGTGTCTGGCATTAGGGCTGTAATTAAAGTAAGTCGATTTTTTCTTTCTATTCTTGCTTTGAATTTTTTTTAACAATAAGATTTCAAACTAAATAAATACCTAACTAAATTAAAATAACAAATTTCAAATTAAATTAAATTAAATTTGTTATTTAGTAACAAAACTAATTATGTAATAATTTTAAATGTATTTTTCCTTTTTAGAAAAATGGATTCAAATACATCAAAGAAGAAGATGCGGACATTGTTCTTTTGCAAGAAGTAAAATGTAATAATGCTAGTTTACCAAATGAAGTTAAGTTACCGGGATATGAACGATACTTTTTGGACAGTAAGTAACTTTTAAAAAAAATTTAATAAAAAGCTAAAGAAAATAATATTTTCTTTATTAATTGTAATAATTATGCTTTTTTCGATTCCTTTTTAAAATTTAATTTTTTTCCCTCAGGTAAGAAACAAGGATACTGTGGCATGGCATTTTTCTCGAAAATTAAGCCAATTAAAGTGATTTACGGTTTGCAAAATTCTAATTTTGATCACGAGGGTAGAATTATCACAGCAGAGTATGAAAATTTTTACGTAATTAATGTCTGTAAGTATCAATTATTTTCCAAAAAAATTTCACGAAAGAATTCAATTTTTTTGCTTAATCCGTTATTAAATCTTTGAAGAAAACAATTATTTCCAAAAAAAATTCACGAAACAATTCAATTTTAATTATAAATAGTCAAATTCTTTGGAAAAATTCAATTATTTTTAATACAATTTTAACATTTCATAAAAGAATTTAATTTTCAAAAAATTTTTAATATTTAAAAAAAAATCTATTATTTTCTACAATTTTAATAAATCCTTTGAAACAATTTAATTATATAAATAAATAATAAAGGTCTTTGCAAAAATTCAATTATTTTCAAAAAAAATGTCACGAAAGAATTAAATTTTTTTCTTAATTCATTATAAAATTTTTCAAAAGAATTCAATTTTTTTCTAAAATTTTAATTATTAATATATTTAATTATTAATATAGAAGATTTAATAACATTATTACAAAATTATGAAAATGTAAAAAATCTTTATCTTTCATTAGTTAATTTGTAATAATATTATTACAAACATTATTACACATTAATTAACACTATTACAAAATTATGAAAATGTAATTAATGTTTTTGTTTCATTAGTCAATTTGAAAATTTTTTTTAGATGTCCCTAATTCTGGCAGTAAATTAGTAAATTTACAGAAGCGATTAGATTGGAACATGACATTTAAAGAACACGTGCTAAAATTAGACAACAAAAAACCAGTTATCATTTGTGGAGATATGAACGTTGCCCATGAGGAAATAGGTAAAATAAATATTTCAAACGAATGAATAAAATAAAATTAATTGAATGACAAAAATATTTTCATGGAATTTTTTTCAAATGAAAATTTCAAGTAATTAATTAATTATAATTAATTAATATTAATTATTACTAATTAATTATAATTAGTTAATATTAATTAATTTAAGTAAAAAAAATTTTGTTTTTGTAATCTGCAGATTTAACGAATCCGAAAACAAATACAAAAAATGCTGGTTTCTCGCCTGAGGAAAGAGAAGGAATGACAGAATTTCTCAAGGAAGGTTTTGTCGATACATTCAGAGCATTGTATCCCGATAAGACAGGCGCTTATTCGTTTTGGTCGTATTTTAGAAATGCGCGTGACAAAAATATTGGATGGTAAGTACATTTTTTATTTATAAATAAAAAATTAATTTTATTGAGTTGAAAATTTAGTTTAATTTGTTTTGAATAAAATTGAATTTAATTTCGAATTTTCAGGAGACTGGATTACTTCATTGTTTCCGAACGCATTAAAAATAAGATTTGTGATAACGTGATGAGAGACAAGGTTTATGGAAGTGATCATTGTCCTATTATTCTCTATGCTACTTTGTAAATCATTGTTTCACAATGTCTTTGTGTTTCATAGTTTCTAATCCATATTTCTTCGAAATGTTCTTTTTAATTTTGTAATAAAAACAATAAAATTGGCAAAGTCCTATAATATTTGGTGGTTAATTGTTCCATTACGTCTGCACTAAATTTATTCAACACTATCAAAATTTTATTTAAGAATTGTTTTTCGAAAGCTTTTTTTAGAGAAATTTAAAATAAAGCGCGCTACGTTTCAATTGGTCGGTTCACGAGAGTAACAAGATGGCGTCAAGATCAGCTGATCGTCTGCTAGAGTGACGGATGAAATTGTTGGTTAAAGTTTTGCCAGTGGAAGTTGACTTTTCGATAAAATAAACCGTGTTTAATGTACGAATTTGTGTGTGTAGATAGCAAATACAAGATTCATTAAACAGAATCCGATGACGTGTAGATAATAACTCGAGTGTCCCATGTTGTCAACACCCGAGAAACGCGGATTTAATCGCGTACGTCATTGACAGGTGGTGCAGGAATGTCGCAAAAGCAAAACAGATAGAATTTTTATTCCTTTGGATATTATTGTGTTTCGTTTATATATTTAAAAGAAAAAGTGGTTCGTGATTGATTCGGCTGTAATGAGCGATTCAGATCAGCAACAATTGTATGTGCCTTACAGAGAATATCAAAGTCAGAATAACATCATTCCCACAGGCAATCTAGTGGAGACTGATGCACTCGTCGATCTTTCATTAACTCCAACCAATAATTTACCTCAAGACGAGGAATTTCCAGAACTACTACCTGACGTCGCCTTTATTCCAAATCTCAACTGCGATCAAACGATAGCCATTGATTCCCCTGGAATTGACCGGGAGAGTCAACCTCTCCTAGGTCGTCTCGATGTCGATGTCTCCTACAACCGCTTTCCTGGTAATACTTTTATTGAATACTTATTACTTATTCATCATCTTTTCCTCTCAAAGACTTTGGTTCAAGTAATCAAGCAGGTCTTTTACTTTCAATTACCCGAAAATAAACTAAATAATATTAAATTAATATTTAATTAGTATGTTAATCTTGTACCTAATTCTCCTTATGACTCATCGCTTTGTTTCACTTTGGTTCACACTTTGTTTCACTTACCTAAATAACAATGACAAAAGAACAATTCGATTTATTAATTATTAACCTAATTTATTTTCCCCACCAATATTTTAATATTCTTAATCTTATTTTCTTTAGTTTATGAAAATCATTTCTGTAAAACGTATGTATTACCTATTTTTTTCTTACTTGAATCGATCTAATATTTTTTAGATAATAAAAAATCGATATAATCCGGCGTCTCAAATTACGTGGTGTAATATTTCTTTCAATTTGCGTTATTTATTTTTGATTTGCGGCCAACAACGCATTTTTTATAAATAAAAAAAAAGTTGTTGACTTAACAATTTGCATAAATCGTTTTGAATTTCTAGACAATAATTATATTATTGAATTTTTACCTCGTCTTTTTTGCAAGGATATAAATAGTACAGGTAATATAAATGTATGTGTTTTTCAACACAAATCTATTGACTCAATAATTTTTAGATTATTATTATTTTATTTAGAAAAAAAGTTATCACAAGAGATTATTATCTCAAACTGTTTAAACGATTTAATCATTTCTCATTTTAAAAAGGAGACATTTAAATGAGAAAGTATTAATATTTGGAGAAAAAATCAATTTTTTTTAACAAAATATCAAAATTCTTTTTCATTATATATATACACGATTTGTATACAATAATCAAACAATTGAGAAATCATATTAATACAGTAAATCAACTATGTGAAAAGTTTTATATATTGTTTTTAAACTTGCAAATAATTATATGTACCTTGCAACGAGCGATAATATTTAAAGTAACACATTTTTAACGATAAGGTAGAAAATTACGCAACCAGTTATTGCCAATAGCTTTTTGATGACGATTTTCACTAAAGTACTATATAGTTAAAAAAAAAAAGAAAAGAAATAATTTGCCTACGCGTACTATGACATATTTTATTCTTCTTTGTAAATACTTGGGACAATCAGGATTTCGACAAAATTTCGAGTAGCAGTGATACAATGACGGAAAACGGATCAATTCTGGATAATTGGGACAACTGGTCACTTTATTATCAAGGTATTTTCGTTAATTTGGGAATTTTTCATCGGCAACTGGCACATTCAAAAATAGACATTATTTATTTTCACTGTATTTACGAATTAGGTGATAAAATTAAAAAAAGACTTCAATTTTTAATGAATTTGATTCAATAATATGGAATTTTTCTTTTTTGTTAAATTTTCTCTACGCGGTCATTATTTTAAAAATAAAAACTATGTATTTCGCAAGTGTTTAAATTTAAAAAAAAAACCTCTTTTTCTTCGATTATAGTTATTCAAAAATGGATAATTAGAAATATTGACGAACTGGGAAAAAGATTGAAATATTTTTGAAACAATTTATGTAAAATTGCTCTTGAAATTACCTGCAATATGTGTCAAATATTGTACGCCGTGAGAATTTTCTTTTTACTGTTGACAACATTGCATATCATTACACGACCACGATAAACGTTTTTCAAAAAGTATTTCTATTGAACAATTGGAATTATAGTCTGACGCAAGATTACATCATCTGTTTTTTAATATACTTTAAATCCGTTTCTTTTTCATTTAAATCACATTTATTATCTTTTTTTTTTGTAGATGATCCGTCGTTTACTGATCTGGTGTGCGAAGCCGAAAGCGCAATAAACAATGGAATTTATCCCGAAAGAATTTATCAAGGATCGAGTGGAAGTTATTTCGTCAAGAATCCTCAGGGGGTAAATATAGAAAAATATTTCCAATTATACAAAATTTGAAAATGATACAATACTCTCAATAAAATTAGAAAAAGAAATGAAAAAATCTCAGGACTCGAACCAGTGAAAGTAAATTTAAAAATACGGACCAAAAATTAATTAAACTTTTTCAAAAAAATTAATTTCAAAATTCAATTATTTCTAAAAATTCACGCTATATTGCTTTTAATGTTTTAATATTCAATTATTGTCTAAAATTTTAACTGAAATTAATTTTTAAATCGATTTTTATTAGAAAATTCTACTAGAATTCAATTATTTAAATTCAAAAATAATTAATTTATCGAATGTTTCTTAAAATTCAATTCCCATAAAGAATTTTATAAACAAACTTTTAAATAATTGAATTCTTTTGAAGAATTTAAAAAAAAAATTTTTAAATAATTGAATTCCTGCAGGAATTTAATAATTTTTGACAATAATTAAATTCTTGCAAAGAATTATTATATTAATATTTCTAAAAATAATTGAATTCCTGACAAGAACTTTATTATTTTTGAATAATATTTAATTTTTGCGAAGAATATTATTACTCTTGAAAATAATTGAATTTCTGCAATAATTTGTAACTTTTACAAAATTAAATTTTTATTCGTGTTTTTTTAACTAAAATTGTTCTATAAAATGCATTATTTTTAATAATTTTTGAAAAAGTTCTTTGAGAATTTTCAAATCTATTTGTTTACAATTCAATTTTACGCAAATTTCATTGATTATTCGGAAGTTCTTCAACCTGTATATTAGAAAATAAAAACTTAAAATAATTTTTAAAAAAATCCGCAATTACACTTTCTAAAAAAAATTATTTTCACAGAATTGTTAGTTAAAAATATGAAAATTCAGATTTTCAAAGATTTTAATTTGAAACCTTTTCAAAATTCAATTATTTCTAAAAATTCACGCTATATTGTTTTAAATCGATTTTTATTAAAAAATTCTAATAGAATTCAATTATTTAAATCCAAAAAAGAGAATTTATTGAATAATTGCATGTTTCTTAAAATTGGATTCTCGTCAAGAATTTTAGCAATAAATTTTTAAATATTTGAATTCTTTTGACGAATTTTCATAAAATTTTTAAAAATAATTACATGTTTCGAGTAAATTGATTAAAATAATTGTATTAAAAATAATTGAAATTCTACAATGAGTTTTATTATTTATGAAAATAATTGAATTCCTAAAAAGAATTTTATTATTTGCGAAAATAATTATTTTCGTAAATAATACCAGTAAAAATTTTATTATTTATGAAAATAATTGAATGATTGCAAAGAATTTTATTACTTTTGAAAATAATTGAATTTCTGCAATTATTTGTAAATTCTCTAAAATTCTCTATCAAATTACGGATTTTACGGACCTTTTTTAATTAAAACTTGACTTTTACGGACTTCAAAAAAATTTACGAAGCTAATTCAAGCCCTGAAATCGAGAAAAATGAAGAAAAATATTTGATTAGCGAATTGTAATTTTTGCAGAAAACAATAGGAGTATTTAAGCCAAAAGACGAGGAACCATATGGAAGACTGAACCCAAAATGGACCAAGTGGATGCACAAGCTCTGCTGTCCATGTTGTTTTGGAAGAAGTTGCTTAATTCCAAATCAGGGATATTTAAGCGAGGCTGGCGCGAGTTTAGTGGACAGAAAACTTAATCTTGGAGTTGTACCTAATACGAGAGTGGTGAAATTAGTTAGCAAAACGTTTAATTATCCAAGATTTGATAGACAAAAGGTGAGAATGAAAAAGGCCATTATGGATCAATTTCCAGCGGTTGGCTCGCATTTCAATCGCATTGGACTGCCACCAAAAGTTGGATCATTTCAATTATTCGTCGACGGTTACAAGGACGCTGATTATTGGTTAAGACGCTGGGAAAATGAGCCACTACCTCCACATCTCGCTCGGAAATTTCAACTCCAATTCGAGAGATTAGTCATTTTGGATTATATCATTAGAAATACGGATAGAGGTGAATATTCTACCCTCGAGTACTTTTTACGAAAACGGCACAATTTTTCCTTTACTCCAATTTTCAGTTTTCTAAATTCTTTCTCGAGTTGAATTTATAATTTAAATTATAAATTCAAAAGTAAAAACTTGGAAAAGTAAAAATTCGAATTAATGGAAATTTAAAGAAAAAAACAAACTAAAGAAAACTGTTATCTCCACAGGTAATGATAATTGGTTAATTAAATACGAACCACCAGCAAAAAATAGTCCGGAAAGTGGAGACGTAAAAATTGCAGCAATCGACAATGGACTCGCATTTCCATTCAAACATCCGGACTCGTGGCGTGCTTATCCTTATCATTGGGCATGGCTTAGTCAAGCGAAACAGCCATTTAGTGAGAGAACAAGAGAATTGGTTTCAGTCCAGCTCTCAGATCAAAATTTTGTACAAAACCTTTGTAATGACTTACATCAGTTATTTAAGGTGAGTTCTCCTCGCGAAATTCATTCCAAATCAGAAAAAAATACCTGTAAATTTCATAAAGTGCGAAAAAAATTACAAAAATTTAGAATAACTAGCGAAACGCGATATTCCCGTTATTATTTAGCAAATTGAAAAAATAGTATTTTCAAGAATATAAACATTAATTTTTGAATAATTTACTATTTTCAAAAATGTTAATAAAATTTTGTCGCAAAAATTCAATTATTCCCATAAATAATAAAATAATTGAATTCCTGCGAAGAATTTTACTATTTATAAAAATAATTGAATTGTTTTGAAAAAGTTTATCAAAACTGGGAAATAATAAAATTTTTTTAAAATTCTATAAAATAATTGAATCTTTTATTGAAATTTTATTAAAATTGTTTTGAAAATAATTGAATTCCTGCGAAGAATTTTACCATTTTTTAAAAATAATTGAATTTTTCCAAAGAATTGAATTGCTGCGAAGAATTTTACCATTTTTTAAAAATAATTGAATTCTTCCAAAGAATTTTTATAAATTGTAAAATTCTTTGCAAGATTTAAATTAATTTTATAATACTAATAATATATTTATTTATTTATAATTTTATATAGATAATAATAAAATTCTTCTCAAGAATTCAATTATTTTCAATACAATTTTAATAAAATTTCTGGAAAGAATCCAATTATTTTCAAAAATTTTGACAAAATCCTAAAATGAAATTAATTTTTAAAAATTTCAATTAAAATTATTGAAAAAACTCCATTATTTTCAAGAAATTTACAGAAATTTTTCAAGAAAAACTTAATTATTTCCCAAAAACTTTAATAAAATTGTTTAAAAGAATTTAATTTTCTATTAACAATTTTATAAACTTAGAAGAAATTCTTCATAAAATTTAATTACTTTTAAAATCTATATTAATAATCGTATTCCGGTATTTGCAATAAAAAGTATTGAAAAAGAATTCCATTACATATTTTCAAAAAATTGAAATAAATTCTTCAAAATTCAATTATTTTCAAAAATTTTTGCGAGAATTTCTTAAAGATTTACAAAATTATGTGATTAAATTTTTTAAATGACATAATTTTGTAATCTTTAGATACAAGAAAAGGGAATATAAAAAAATTATGATAATTCTACAAAATCTACTTATCTCTGAAAATAAGATTCTGATTTTGATCAAATACCTTTTTTTTGCAGCAAGATAAAGGCTTTGATCGACATAATTTCGACAGGCAAATGAGTGTGATGCGAGGTCAAATATTGAATTTACAACAGGCTTTGAAAGACGCCAAAAGTCCTGTACAACTTGTACAAATGCCGGCTGTAATTGTCGAAAAGTAAGATTTTTTTATTTTTACAATAAATTTTAAATATAGAAAATAAATTTCTTTAATAAAATATTTTCATAATAATAATAGTAATAAACATATAATTAATAAACTATTAATAATAATAAAAATATAATTAATAAAATATTAATAATAAAAATATTAATTAAAAACTTTTTTCCAACAGGTTTTCTAAAGCGAATGGAGGAGCGCAAAAATTATTCTCCTTCTCAGGCGCATTCACGCAACGCTTCCAAAGTAAAAGTCCTTTCTTTTCTTGGTGTTGAAAGAAAGAATTCTAATCACGGAAATTGAGAAGATTACGAAATGTTTTTAACAAATATATATATATACATACAAAAAAAGAATTGCAACTTTCTACATCGATGACTCCCTAATTAATTTTTTGTCTCTCTTTTAAAACTCATTGACAATGGAACATTAATTTTTAATTAGTCCTATGTAGGATTAGTTACACAATAATAACGAATCGATCATTTTAATTCGAATTCCTTATTCATATGCTTACACATTGTATAGAAAATAAAGCATAATATGTTGAAGTCAGTTTTCCCTTGTCACGTTTTTGCAAAAAAAAAAGAAGAAGGGATTTATTTATTGACAAGGCAAAAAAGCAAACGTACATGTACAGATTTTATCTTAGGCGTCGAACCAAAGCAACAACTTTGAATCGATTTAATTAACTTTTATAGCGTTTGTGCCAAGAAAACATTGAAAAAAAAAAATAATCATTGTACATTATCTCCGCGTCCGAATTATTGTCTCCAATAATTTAAGTGCGTCTCATTGTCAAATAATAACTATCGAGATAATTGAATGAAAAAACAAATAATTGCAATTAAATGAATTAATTGTAAGAGAAAAGAAAAAAATAACTTTTAGCAATGGAAATATTCAATAATTATGAATCATAATAAAAATTGTAAGAACAAATAATTAAAGAAAATAATCAACTGATGAAAAATAAGCGAATGAAAAAATGTATTGTTTGATTTAAAAAAAAGCGGACGGGATTTTTAAATTAGAATGAAAAAAGAATTGTGACTGCTTATGGATAATATTGATTAAGTCAATATTTCCTGTCAGTTAATTAGTTGAAGAAAAACTGTTACAAAAAAAAAAATATTTACGAAATTTCCATGGAAAATAAAACCCTTACGTTTGTAATCACTTTTGTCTAATTTCCCATTTAGACAAAATTTTTTCTCAATATTTATATATCTATATATATTTTTTGTTACTATTTGTTTAGAAATACTTAGTTTGCCAGTTAATTATTATTAATTTACACGAGAAATCGTTTCTAATAATGTATACATATATCTTATGTTTTAATAACCAATCACCAACTGTCAAAACAAAATTGACAGTTTTCATATTTGCTTACATTTTTTTTTATACAATAGATTCTTTTTTTCAAATATAAAAGTCAACTGACGTATACGATGAACAAAAAAGTTTTAAAAAAAAGAAAATAAAAATGGAAATTATAGAATTTTCTCCAAGAAATGAAAAAATTTCACCGTTTACCGACTTGAATAAAGTAATTTACAATTCGCTCTTTCTAATCATCAGAACAAATTTTATTTTAAACATTACGACGATGAACAAAAATTATGAAAAAACCAAAATTTTGAAAATAAAATCTTTTAAATAGTTGTACATAATAAAATTTCCTCTCATTTTTTAAAATGCTTTTGAGAAAAAGAAACTACTAGACACGCCTGTGTATAATTATGTCAATTAGGATTTTCAAATTGTTCTCATTTATTGCTACTTGAAAGAAAGTGTTTTAATTGTACTTAAAATTTAAATCGTATTTTTAGAAAATGTCCTTATTTTCATGGTATACACAGAAAATATATTTAATACATAAATAAACTTTTTATTTAATTTACGATTCTTTTCCTCTAACTTGGTGAAGAGTTATTTAAACATTCAATTCAAATTGTTTATTAATGAAGAATTATTTGAATATTTGTTGTAAATTGTTATAAATATTATTAAACGATTTTTAAATAATTATACTTTGCTCTACTTCATTAAAATTTTATGCTAAAAAAGTATTTTTTTAAATTATAATTACGAAAATTTGTAAATTGAAAACTTTAAAAAAAGTTTAGAAAATTGAAACTTTGAATATTAATATGAAAGTTTGATTTGAAAATTGAGGAAGTATTTAGCTTTTAATAATAATGATTTATTTACTAAACTGAGTTAATAAATTTATTGAGATAGTAAATAAGATTTTTTATTTAGATTTCGAGAAGATATGTACAACCGCCTCGCATGGAATCTTATGCCCCAAGACAAACTTATTCTCCGCCGAAAAAAATTCTGGATACAAGAACAACTTATCATCTCTCCTATTTAAATGAAAATGAACCACAACTCCCTCGATCTAAACCTTTTTATCCTCCACAAAATTTGAATATTTCTCCGGGAACAATTTCAGATGACACAACAACTAAAATGAGTTACAAAGCCAATTGGACTATTAATAGAACAAAACCGATAAAACCAAAAATTAAGTAAATTTTTCATTTTTATTAATTTATTTTCTTTTTCAGAAAATTAACTTTAAATGAAAAATAAACAGAAATTGTTTCTTTTGATAGAAAAATTGTCAATGGAGATCCAGTGGAATATGTGACGACAGCGAAACACGATTTTATTGGGAAAATCGGTGAAAAGCAGAAAATGATAATTCCCAGTGGAAGTATTAGAATTAGTAATGGATCCTTAGACGGAATGACAACTTCTAAATTATCTTATTTAAATCCTGGATTTGTTCAACCGGCTGAAATTTGCAAACCTAAAAGAACTTATTATCCAAATGTCGATCAATCGATTTCGAAAGACACGACTCAAAAATTGAGTTTTCAGCCCTTTAGTTTGCCAAAAAGGGAAATTTATCCATGGAGTCAAAAATCAATCTACAGGTGTTTTCTCTTTTGGCTAAAATTTAAAAACATTCATAAGAATGAAGTTTCTTTAAGAAGGAATTTTTTTTATTTTACCGAAAATACTCGCGAGTATTTTCGGTAAAATAAAAAAAATTCCTTCTCAGACCACCTGAGACATCAATGGAAGGTCAAACGACATATGGAAAAAGTTTTGCGGAAGTCGATTGTTCAATGAAGGAAAAACCCATTCTGCCAAGGTCAACGAATTTCTTCCCATCTGGTGGTGAATTTTTCGAAAAGACAAACTATCGTGAAACTTTTCAGCCACGCAATTCACAGCCAGTCGTTCCAATAATTCCTTGCAGTAATATTTCCTTCTCTGCCAAACAAATGTCCAGTGATACAACAACCAAGGTATTATTCAACCTGAATCTATAAATAAACCAATAGATATCAAATTTACACTTACATATATCGAATTTATTGATTCAACAAGATATTGATAATTTGATCCATGACGAAACTTTCTTTTCTATACAAACTGTATAATACTGTAATTGAATCCTTGTTCCTTTGATAAAAATTAAAAATAATTTAATCTCACAGTTAAGTTATCAACCGGTTCGAGCGGAAAAACGTCTGGCAATTCTTCCACGTCATGGAAAAGTGATTGAGGATGGTCCAATGCACTGTGAAACTACAACAAGTCATGATTTTACATTGAAAAATTTATCAAAGGTCAATGTTATCATTCCTTCGAATAATATCAAAATTGTCAATAGACCGTTTGAGGGAAAAACGACCACGTCATTGTCTTTTGTCAATCCTGGACTGATAATGCCTGTACCAAGTTTCAAACCTGACGCTACATATAATAGGTCACAAATAAATTTTATAATTTAATTCTTTGCAAGAATTTTTAATTATTTTTACATAAATAATAAAAAAATCTTCGCAAGAATTCAAATATTTTTATAAATATTACAATTATTTGTAAAAATTCAATTATTTTCAATATAATTTTAATAAAATCCCTCAAAAAAATTCAATTCTTTAACAAATTTTTAGTAAAATTCTTCAAAAGGATTAAATTTACATTCATATCAATTTTAATTAAATTTCTGTGAAGAATTTATTTCTATTTCCATATACAATAAAATTCATCACAAAAATTCAATTATAATTAAAAATAATACAATTCTTCGTTGAAATTCAATTATTTTCAAAAAATTTTGATACAATTGTTTAAAAGCATTCAATTACTTTCAATACAATTTTAATTAAATTTCTCGAAAAAATTTCAATTTTCTTCGAAACAATTAAATTATTTTTGAAAATTTTAATAACATTATTCTTCACATTTAAATTATTTTTATAAATAATAAATTCTTCGTAGAAAATCAATTATTTTCAATACAATTTTAACAAAATTTCTTTAAATAATTCAATTATTTTTATTTTTTTTTTTTATAAATTTCTTCGAAAAAATTAAATTATTTTTAAAAATTTGATACAATTCTTTATAAAAGAATTAAATTATCTTCTATACAATTTTAACTAAATTTCTCGAAAAAATTAAAATTTTCTTCGAAATTATTTTGAAAAATTTTAATAAGATTCCTCAAAAGATTTCAATTACTTTTAAATAGAATTTAAACAAAAGTTCTCTAAACAATTCAATTACTTTCAAAATTTTGATAAAATTAAATATGAATTAAAAATAATTTAATTCCATCACGAAATTTGATTGAAATTGTATGAAAAAGAACTGAATTTCCACGAAGAATTTTTTTTTTTGTGAAAATAATTCAATTTTTGTGAAGAATTTTGTAAAAATTTTCGAAAATAATTGAATTGTTTCGAAGAATTTTATTAAAATTTTTGAAATATTATTGAAAATATTTAAATTCTAATAAACATATTCAGTTAATTATTTTAATAAATTCAATTAAAATATGTTTATCAGAATTTAATTATTTTCAGTACATTTTTAATTTAAGTCCTTGAAAGAAGTTAATTATTTTCAAAAATTTTAATAAAATTCTTCGAAACAATATTCAATTATTTTCGAAAATTTTTACAAAACTCTTCGCAAAAGTTCAAGTTACAGGAATACAATAATTACTAATTAATTATTAAAATTTTAATTTATTAACTTAGAAGATAAATAAAAAAAAATACTTTGAATGTCAAAATCCAAAATTAGAATTCTTGAAAATTGCTCTCGCAAATTACGATTTTGTCAGTTAATTAACCACCAAAATCCTAATTTCCTCCAGTTGATAATAAAGAAAACAAATAAAGAAAAATAAAATTGAAAATACCTTTCAAAAAACACTTTAGACTCGACGCTAAAGTAGAAGGTGACACGGTGAATAAATTATCGTATCAAACGTGGGAAATTCAACCGAAAGAGGACTTTCCTTGGGCACGTCAACGTCGATATGAACCACCAAAAAAACCAATGATCGGTGATTCGATATATCACATGAGTTATCCAGTTCCTGGTTACTACATTGAAGACTCTGGAAAAAAATCTACCACTAAAAATCAAATTAATTCACAAAAAGTATTAGCTACTTAAAAAGTAATAAACGTTTTAAAATCACAAGCACTTTCAATAAAAACTTAATGCAAAAATTCTTGTCCCAATCAAATCAAAACAGAAATTTTTAAAATAAAATTTAAATCACTATTTTTACATCTCTCTTAAATATGGTATTCAAATTTTATTTTCTATATCTTCAACTTAAAATAAATATTAGATTTTATTTTCTAAATTAGGAAAGATTCAAAGAAAATCCAAAAATAACATAAAATAATATGAGAAATGTCTGTTCAGGATTCTTTTCCTACAAAGAAAAATATTTACAAGTATATTTAAATATTTTTTTACAATCCTCAAGATAGTAAAACAATATTCATATATTTCGTAAAATAGAAAACATTCATATAAATAAATTGATTATAAAAATAAATTTATTTACAGGAATTTTAAGTTTAACGTTTCTTACACTTATGAAAATGGAAAAAATGATTGTCATGAAGTGTAAGGATAGAATAAAGGATATTTTTTAGTTAAACTTAAAATATAGATGTTTATTACCAGTGCATTAGATACATGCACAAAATTCACACGTAGTATACATTTTAATTAGCCATTGTTGGACATTAATAGCTTAATTAATTTAACACACTCGCGGTAAAATATTTATTATTATTATTTTTTTTTTTGATAATAAAATAAACTCTAATCTTTGACAAAAAGATTGTTACAGACATTATCAACATATTTATTTATTTTATTCCAGCAGATATAGCAGAGCTCACATATGAACGCTTTTTTAATAATAATAATAATAATAAGTATAATAATAATAATGATAATAGGCACTATAATCTGACAGATTTATTTATCTGATTAAAACCGCTTCTAATTAAAATTTTCTCACATGTGAGATTAATAATAATAAGAAAACGTATTTTTAATATTTCCATCGAAACAATAATTAATATTAATCAACGGTTTTAATCACCATTTTTTTCTGCCTCGTAAATATTTTTTTCTTTGGATGTTCCTTCAAAAAAAAGGCTCTCTCAGTGACGTTAACAAATAACGTAAGAGCAAAATTTTTCACATATAGTAAAGTATTTTCACTATAAGACTAATATGTAGAATCACCTGCGACTTAAAATAATCATCTAAAAACTAAAAAAAATTTCTTTTAAAAAAAATGTGTTAATTTTTCGTTATTACAGTAAGGAAAGTCCTGAGTTTAAACTTGTTACACCGCAATCGATAAAAAAATTAAAATTTGTTCTATTTAGGAAAAATTTTTATTTCTTGTTGAAAGAATTGATTGCATAAAATTATCCTTACTTTCAGATGTAAAATTAAATGCATTTAAGGCACATTTTCTTTTTACTGCTAATCCAGACTTCATCACATTTTTCCTTTCTGTATATCACGTATATAAAAACAAGGCAATATGTTTAAATCCAAATACTGGTATACATATTTTTTTTGTGAAATATAAATATATATATACGCTATAGACATAAAATTTCATTTAACTGAAATTAATAGAAAATACAGACTACAATTTGTTTTTTTTTCTTTAAATTGTAGTAACAACCTTAAAAGTCACGAAATCCTTATTTTTTCCCAAAAGAAAAATTCGCGTAAATTAGTGTATATTTTATTTGTCTTAACAAAACTTCTTCAACACAAAAATTTTATTTATAGTTTCATAAAAAAATTTAACACGTTATAGTAAATAAAATCAAAAACCTCTCAAATCATCATTCTTAAAAAATAACATAAAAAATTTTCAATTTGAAGAAAATTATTAGCAAACATCTAACAAGAAGTTGTAAAGTAAAAAAGTTGCATTGTAAACAAATACTTGTAAGTCAAAAGTAGAAAATATAGAAAACATAGAAAATATTGTAGAAAATTATTACCCAATATTTAAAAAAAAGTTTTATAGTAAAAAAGTTGCATATAACAAATATTTGTAAGTCAAAAATTCTAAAAATTATTTTAATTCTCTAGAAAAATGTCGGATAAAAATTTTTTCGAAAAAATATTCTTTCTGCATAATAGAAATCTTTGTTGTTCGTAAACAACAATTTTATGATAAAATACATTTTTAGAATAATTATGAGAAAAAAATCTTCAAATTAGTAAAATTATTGTCGTTTAAGGTTGTTGCACAATTTAAAACGGAAAATTTCTTCGAGTTTCAATTTTTATTATTCGAGGTTCTGAACATTTAATTCTAAATAAATTCTCGCAATCTCAATATTATTCAAAACTGTCACTTTAGGAAGAAATAAAAATGCAAATTTACAATTTTTTCTTCAAATTCTTGTTTTCTTTCGATTTTACAATAAAATTTGAACAATAGAAAATATAAAGGTCAAAAATTTTAAACTTTTTTACTTAAATGTTCAGAACTTCTTTTATCTTCAGTTAGTGTCAAATTTTTTTTCTTTGCTCACTTTTGTACTTTTTTTTGTACTTTTGTAAAATTTAATCACTTTTTTCAAAATTTTCAAAAATCTTTAGAATATTAAAATACAAAATAATTTGTTTTCAGAAATAACATCTGACCGTTAATTTTACGAAAATTAAAAGCAGGTGTAAAAATTTTACTTTGGTGAAGTTCACAACGTTTATAAATCAACAATTTAGAAAAGAATATTTTTCTAATCAAATTTTTATATCTTCTTCTTAAATGACTTTAGGCCTAGCCAACTATCAAAAAAACTAAAATTTTTATATATTTTTGTATAAAAAAATATTTTTCAGTTTTTTGATGATTAAAGAAAAATTTGTAATCAAAACATTGTTTTCGTAAATTTTTTCTTTCAATCGTTGATCATAAACCTTATGAACTTCACCGACGAAAATTTTTTGACATTTCTACTCTGAAAAATTAAAAATCGTTTAGAATTAATTTCGACATGAAAATTAAAACGAACGAATAAAAACAAAAAATTGAAACTCAAAAAATTATCCATAAGTAACGTATACGTATTATATTTTTGTTGCGAACAATTTACACGAAGTTTCAAAATTTGCCATCAGGTACTGACAATAAAAAGGCACTGAAATGAAATCTATTTATACTGTTTAAAAAGAAAAATTAAAGGAATAAATGTCACGTTCGAAATTTGGAGCCATTATCCCACAAATTACATAATCAGTCTCGGCCCAAAAAAAATATTGCACACATTAATAGCTGTATTTATCATAGACATAAATAAGATTATTGTATGAATCTTGTTTGGCTAATTAACAAAAAAAAAATTTCTCGAGACACTAAAAAATGCTCTTTTAATTTCGTGACGAGAATTACAATTGACAAAAAAAATCATTTGAACAAAAAAAAACACATACCTATTGAGGTCTTGCGTAGTTCTGGATGAACTCGGGAAAATTAAAATTGCTGATCTGTTCTAGGCTGAGGTTCTCTTCGACAATAGGAAGATCTTGACCCATCATATCAACGTACTCCATATCCGAATTTGACCTTCCAGTTCCCGTCTGGCCAAGACCCGGAGCGTAACTACAGATAAAACACAACCCCAATCACTGGCAAGCCTTTTAACAAAATTTGCATTGCACATCGACAAAAACAAAAAAATCAAAACTAAATTTCTTAATTTATTATTTTTCAGTTTGAAGCAAAAGTTGGAAAAAGCCGGTACAACACGGTAGAATGCGCAATTTATAGAATTGAATATTTTCATTTCTTCTCAAGCAACATTCTACCCTATTGCATTTTTCTTTATTTATTTGTTTTTTCTCTCTTTATTTGTTTGATCACGTCATCTCTACTCGATTGCCAGTTTATTTTTGAACGAGTAGTGATTGGAGTTGCGTTCCATCGCTTTTCATTGAATTCTCAAAAAATTTAATTTAACTTTTATTTTTTTCTCTTTTGTAGTTGTACCGGCTTGCTCCAGGCCTTTGCCTCTATTTTTCACAATGATGTTCAATGAATTTTCAAATTTTTAATTGATTCACCATTTAAAACAGTCTGTGTGGAAAATTGTTATCTAATAAACAGTGGAAGAATTTACACAAAGAATTTAAAAAAAACTTTTTAAATCTACAATTGAAAACAATTTTTAGAAACAGTTTTTAAAAAACTTACTTAATCAAATTTAAAATTGATACTTTGCAATAATTCCCAAGATTTAATTTTAACAAAGACTGTTTTGATGAACCTTAAATATTTAATTATCAAAAGTTTCAATATAAAAAAATAAAGTTTGGTTGTTGAAATTTAATTCTACTCAAAATTGAAAATTTTATTAGATTTTTAAATTCTTTTAAAATTACAAACTAAATTTTAATATCCAATGTGTTTTGGATTTTTTTTTAACGTAATTAACTACAAAAATAACAAAAAGTTACTTATTCTCTATAAAGAAACTTTTGCATTTTGAAAAAAAAATGAAGATGTTAAAGAATTTTTTTTCTCATATTACACGAATTTTTCCTTTTCAAGAAAACAACACATTTAAAAGAAAAAAACACATAAAAAAAATTTTTACGAACCTTCCAAGGTTTTCTCAAAGCCATGGATAAGCCGATTTTCCTTTTCTCACACACACTCAAACAAAAAAATTAGCTGAAAAAATTTCTGGTTCTCAACCAAAAAAAAAAATATAATTACTCATTCTCTAAACACTTAAGTAAGACAATAATGAACTTTATTACAAAAAAAATGTAGATTTTAATTATTTGTAAGTAAAAATTGCATTTATTTTCTAAGGTAGGTAAATATGTACGACCAAGTGTTGAATGCTCAAGTTTTAAAAACAATTTTCGTGATCGAATGTTTCACCTTTTTTCCATCACAGTCATTTTATAGATAAATTATATAAATTTCTTTATAAACATTTTTTAATTTTTTTTCACTTTTTTTTACCATTATTATACCTTTTTTAAAAAAGGATTTGTTTGTTCGAAAATTTAAAAAAGAACTTTCGAGCTAAAAATTTATAAAATGTAAAGATCACAACATACATTCAACACTCGACTGTTTAGTACAAAAAACACTCCGAGTGACAAAATTACGAATATATGAAAAAAAATTAAGTATCAAGTATATCTTTATAAATTGTATTAAAAATTGTATAAGATTTGTAAAAAAAAAAAGCTTCCAAAAACTGCAATCGATATCGCACTGCTAATTGATAATACAATGAGCAACGTGTAGCTCTATAAAAAATTGAAAAAATAGAATACTGATATAACTATTTGTATACGGTTATAATTATGAAGATGCGCAATATGTCATTTTAGTTTTTTCTAATGCAAGAACAACATTATTCGCTTTCACTCTCTTACAATCTGTAATAAATCGCATATTTAGACTTTATAAGTCTATAAAAAAATTTCACTAAATACAAAAAACACATCCATAATGAAAATTCTTGACAATTATTTTTATGAAACAAAACTTCAATAATAAAAAAAACACAAAAAATATAATTAACAATCAATCATTCTAATCTCTCAAAAAATTGCACAATTGTTATAGAGCTTAACTAACTTTTACTAAGTATTAAAAAAACAATTTTATACTTAGTGTCTATCACATTAACAAATAGATTAAAATTCTTTTGTCATAAAAATGAGATTCTATCAAAATTTAATCACTAACCTGGATAGAAATCTTCAATCTAATTAATTTGAAACAAATAATTTTCTTTTTTTTTTTAACACGAAGGAAGAAAAGAAAAAAAATCTGCAAAAATTGGTCCCATATTGTATAGCTATAAAATAACGAGTATTTTTATCAGTTCAATATTTATCACGGTGAGGTATTTTTTTTCCTGCGCATCTTCATAATACTAGCCGAGACAAATCGAAGGCAGTTTAGAGTGTAAATATAAATAGAATTTGAAAAAATGTTTCTTTCTTTTCTTTTTTCTTTTGTTACATCCAGGAAACTGACCTGGAAGCGACCGAGGGAGTATCTCGTGTCACCGACGGATCTGGACTGTGTGCTTGGAACATTGTTGAGGGAGTAGCGGGATAACTACCGCCAGGACCACCTTGACTCGATCCTCCTACTCCGACAACTGATGAATGCGAAGGAGTTTGACCACCCATTGAAGGTCCACCCCAACCTGGCACGTGTGTCACCAAGAGTGGTCGAACATATCCATTAGTTACTGATGTATTCTCTGCAAAATTTCCAATTTAAATTAATACTTTTGTTTTCTATTTGTGAGACTTTATGTAACTTTCTATTTAAAAAGTTTTCTAGTTACTTTTCTAAAATTTGTCTTTAAATATTTATTTTCTTTCAATAATCGAAATTTACTATTATAATTCAATTAATTATTTTCAATTTCAATACAATTTTAACAAAATTTCTCGAAACAATTCAATTACTTTCAAACTTTTGATAAAATATGTTTATTAGAACACATTTTTTCTGTGGATATCAAATTGAGACAAAAAACGAATCAAAAATGTTTAATTAAATTCCTTAAAAGAAATTAATTAATTTCAAAAATGAAATAATTCAATTATTTTCCAAATTTTTTATAAAATTCTACACAATTCAATTATTTTTATAGATAGGTAATAAATTCTTTGTGGAAATTCATTTATTTTCCATACAATTTCAATTAAATTTCTTGATGGAATTAAATTATTTTCAATACAATTTTAACAAAAATGTCTTGAAACAATTTAATAACTTTCAAAAATTTGACAAATTTTGTTTATTAGAATTTAATTCTTTTCAATAAAATTTTAATGAATTTCATCGAATTTCATCATTTAAATTGAATTATTTTCAAAAATTATGATACAATTATTTAAAGGATTCAATTATTTTCAATACAATTTTAACTAAATTACTTAAATTACTTTGCAAGAATTCAATGATTCTCAATACATAAATTTAAAAATTCAAAACATTAAAAAGAAAAATGAATAAAATTAGAAAACAAAGAAACAAACAAAAACGAATTTCAAACTGCGAAAAGATGACCGCAATACAACAATTATTAAAATAGATAACCAAAATTCTATCTCATTATCTTTTCGACACTTTTCTTCTTTCATCTAATATTTTGAAAAGAAAAAGATGTCGATAAAAAGATAAATATTGCAGTATTTGCTTAGAATATTAGTAACAAAGCACCATGAATCATTGCTTTTTAATTTGCATACATATATTTATATATTTAAGAAAGGAAACAGTAGTGCATACCTGAAAAGGGAGTATAGTACTTTGAAAATGCTTGATCTTTTGAAATATCTGGATAAAGATAAAGCAAATGCTGCAAATCAGAGACCCGATCAGGCAAACTCCTAATCGCAAAATCTTTACTTGTGAATGGTTGGAGCATAAACACTTCGGATGTATCTGCAAAAGTATATAAATCATAAATTAGGTACATAAAAAAAATGCTACCAGTAACACTATTATTAGAGTTATTACAGGGCCTTTAAAGGATGAATAGCCGAGAGTTCATAAATTCCTCAGCAGTAGCGTAGCAACTCCCAAAAATTTGTCAACTTCATTTTTTTATATTAATTAAAAAAAGTTAACGACTTCATTTTTTTATCTTAATTTTTTACAAAAAGATGAATTGTCTACAAATACTTTAATAAATTCTTCGTGTGAATTCAATTATTTTTAATACAATTTCAATAAAATTTTTCAAAAGAAGTTAATTATTTTGAAAAATTTGATATAATTCTTCACAAAAATTCAATTATTTAAAAAAATTTTAATTAAATTCTTAGCAAAAGTTAAATTTTGTTCATAAATAATAAAATTATTCGCAAGAATTAAATTATTTTTAAATGAAACTTTAATCAAACTTCTTAATACCTAGAATTCAATTATTTTTCAAAATTTGGTAAAATTATTTATGAGAATTCACTTATTTTTAATACAATTCTTATAAAATTCTTATCAAAATTCCAATTATTTTCATAATTAATAACAAGAATTCAATTATTTAAATAAGTGACAATTATAACATGTTTCACAGAAATTCAATTTCATATTTTCAAAAATTTTGATAAAACACTTAATAAGATTTTAATTAGTTTTAATATTATTTTAATTAAATTAATTGTAGCTTATTTTTAAAGATTTTAATTCAATTATTCACAAGAAATTTAATTATTTTGAAAAATTTTGATGAATTTCTTTAAAAGAATTCAATTATTTCAGATTCGAAATTATAAAAGAAATATTTTTAATTGAAAACAATTTAGTTTAATTAATTTTTGGTATTTTTCAATCTTCAAAGCATTAAATTAAAATTTCACTTATTTAAAAATTCAAAACATTAAAAAGAAAATTTATCAAAATTTACTTTTGAAAAGTTCAATTTTCATAAATAATAAAATTTTTCGCAAGAATTAAATTATTTTTAAATGCAATTTTAAAGTTTTTGGGGAATTTTCTTAAAGGAATAAAAAAGGGGAAAAAAGGAAAAAGTATTCGACTGTGATCCCTGAAATCTAAATTAGAAAAATTCATAAAATTTGATTCTACAAATGTGACAAAAGAAGTATAACTCAAAAATAAATTTTCAGAAATATGTAGTTTTATTTTGAAAAAACACTTGTTTTTTCAATATAAAACTACATATTTCTGAAAATTTATTTATTTGATTGAACTACGCTACTGATTTTATTACAGAAAAGAAAAAAAAAAAGAATAAAGGGTTAAAAAGTAGTAAAAGCGGATTTTTAAATTCTCAAGTTCCCAAATGAAAAGAAACCCAAATATTTATGAATGAAAGGAAATAGAAAAAAAAGTTTACCTCCAACCCAAGCAATCGTCACACCGCCCAGTTCTGAATCAGAGAATCTCATGAGGAAAGTGCCGGAAGGACAATTGGCCAACATCTCCTCAGCCTGCCTCTTCCTCAAGAAACCAAGAATGTATCCGTCGATCCACGGGTTCCTCAAATGTTCTCGCGTTAGTTTCATAACAGCATAAAACCATTCCCAAAATGTGAAATTCCTCTCTGGCAATGGCTCTTTGCAAAATTGTGCCCAACTGAGAAGAAGATTGGTATAGTCTTGATTAAGTGGATGGGTATTACGAAAAGCTTTCTCAGCGAGAAAACGAAGGTTGTCCTCAGTTAAACAACGTCCAGTTGCCGACTTGAATTTCACATTTAAAGCCGTAGCTACCTGACCCCATGGCACTTTATCTGGAATGACAAAGGGAACTCGTCCCGGCTCAGCAAACGCATTATCCCAAGTGACTGTTGCCCATGCATGTGGCTCTTGATTACCGTGAACAATCACGACAACCGGCAGGCTTAAAGTCCATACCTGGAAGACGAGTTCACCGCCACCAACGCTGAATTGTGACTGGAAGAAAAGAGAAAACTTTTCATCCATTACCGATTCAGTTCCTTTTTTCTCGGCACGTTTGATCTTTTTCAATTGCATATTTCTGAAACTAACGGATAACTGCCTCGTCGCTGAATGATATTCCATTGTTCCTGTATTATTCAGTATATCGCCACTCGCCTCATTTGTCACCTTCGCCATTTTTGTGTCTGTCTTTAAAAGTGCAAGTGCTTGCGACTCACTTATTATGCTCACTTTTACCTGCGGCGGTGTCATATGTACATTCAATTTACCGCCAACCAATAGACGTACGGTACTTGTGAATCGTGTGTTTGTTTTCATTACTTGAGGTGGTTGCTTCTCAATGATAAAGGTGCTTGTTACCAGTGAGCTCAAAAGTTGAGTGACTTGAGAATTTAAAGCGGGAAGTACATCCTGTAGGCCAGGAGGATCGCGTACCGATTTTTGCTTAAGTCTTTCGGCTTCTTTTATTTGCTGACGATTCAACCAAATTAATTCCGCAAGATTCTCGCACCATTCTTGAATTGTGTCTAAATTACTGTTAAACGATGCTCCATTGCCCGCTAATTGCTGATCTCTCTTCCACCTGAGTAATTCGTCATCGAGAACTCTCGATTGTAAAATACTCAATTTTCCTACATTATCTTTCAATTTGTCCGCTATACTCAAACGAAGTTGCAGCATTGTTGCCACTTTGTGATTTAATAATTGCTCTTGTTGCTCCTTTTGTCTGACAAATAACAATAAGGAAAGGAATTTTATTATTTAATCAATTTAGTAACTAAACTGATACAATTAAATAATTTGGAAAATTTTTGACAAAAGGAAAATATTCATTTCAAAAATTCCAATTTTTAACAGTTCTCTCAAAAGTGCCAACAAATCAGTTTTATTTATTCATTGTTTACAAAGAAAAGTTTTTTAATTCATAAAATTAATTGAATTCATTAATAATAATAATTCATTCATTCAAAATTTTAAGAACTAAAAACTAGAAGAAAAAGTGAATAACTTTCTAGAAAAAGGGATGAAAGTTGACAATTACAGGATTGTCACAATTTAATTTTGTTTTTCCCTGATTTTCAGACTCAATTTTGACTTTCTTTCGGATCTTAAAAAAAATTCTCACTAACTCTGAAAATTCTCAGATAGGTATACACAAAAAAATGTTTTTAATACAAAATATCTTTATAATTGTAAAATTACCTAAACAAATTCCTAAATTGTACCTTCTCCTAAATTATTTTCTTGAATCTTCAACTAGAATTCTTCTCTAAATTAATTGTATTTAATAAATTTTGAAAAAGTTTTTCGAGACTTAAATTATTTAAAGAAAAAAATAGAAGTTCACTTAAAATATTTCTGAAACTCACTCGTTTACAATTCAATTGAGCTGCCGGATCAAAGAAGGGCACATAACCCATTTGAATTACATTGGTTATGTGCCCTTCTTTGATCCGGCAGCTCAATTTTAGGAAATTTCAACTATTCGAAAATTTTTCAATTTAACTAATTTCAAAAAAGTTTGAATAAAAATTTTCCAAGAAAAATTACTTTTAGAATTTATAATTAAAATTTTCGAAAATTTTATATTAAAACCTTTTGAAATTCAATTATTTATAAAAGTTGTAACTTCTTAAAAAATTATTATCTTTAACCTTCAACCAGAATTCTTCTCTAAATTAATTATTTTTAATAAATTTTAAAAAAGTTCTTTGAGAATTCAATTATTCAAAGAAAAAATGAAAGATCACTTAAATTATTTCTGAAATCCACTCGTTTACAATTGAATTTTTTGAAATTTCAACTATTCGAAAATTTTTTTAATTACAAATAAATATTCAAAAATTCAACTAATTTCAAAAAAGTTTAAATAAAAATTTTCCAAAAAAAAAAAATAAATTTGGAATTTAAGTATAATTAAAACTTTCTAAAATTTCATTTTCAAACCTTTTGAAACTTAATTATTCATCAAAATTGTTAATTGCAATTCTACTAAAATTCCATTATTTTTAAAATTTTAATTAAAATTATTAGCTAGAAATAATTTCTTTTTTTTTTAATAATAATTTTACGATTTTTCTTCAAGAACGAAATTATTATGATCCACAAGTTTTGAACGTTCAAATAAACGAAATATTTTTCATTACAAACTTAAAGTTAATATTTTAGAAAAAATTTATAATTAATTTTTTTTACACGTGACGCAATATTAGTGTAATAAAATTTTTATTTTCAAGAAGAAATAAATAAATTTCGTTCATTTGAACGTTCAAAACTTTAGAAACATAAATTATTTTTAAAAATTGCAAAAAATTCTCAAAATTTAATATTTTTCCAGTATTTTTCAGAAAATTACCAAACTTTTCCTTAATTTCCTGACCAATTTTACTCTTTCTGAATTTCCCCTGAATTTTCTGACCTGTGACAATCCTGAATTATCATGAATTTGAAATAAAAATTTATTGAAATATAAATAAATTAAAATTTTGATAAAAATAAAAAATTTAATTAAAAAAAATTAAAAATTCCCAAAGACCATTTCATATTTGCAAAATATGAAAAGAAAAAGGTTACTCATTGCTACATTGTTAAAGAAAATATACAACTACCATTGTCTGCAATTATATATCAAGTTTTACATTCATTTCAAAAATTAAAGAACAAAGTAAACCAATTTGTTCTCTAATTGTGTCCATTAAGAGAAAATTTACAAATTGCTTTGGATTTGAACGCTGGTATTTTCATTTTCAAATTATGTAATATGTATAGAGATTAAATTAATGTAATAAAAATACATTTACTATAATTTGTAAATTATTGTAATTAAAATAACATAACTTTTATTAAATATTAAAATTTCCATTTTATAATCAAATTTAAAACTCTAATATGAATAATAATTTTGTACACAATAGAAATATATTATTTCAGTACTTTAATTAATTTTCAAATTTATTATACATTTAAAAAATTTATTTTAAATGTTTAAAATATATTCTATTATATATTCTATTTAAAATCAGTTAAAATATATTAAAAAATTTATTTAGTTGAAAATACTAATTTAGTGTAGATATTTTTATAAATTTTCAAAAGTGTTTATAATAATAGATAAAAAGAAACATACCTTGAGATTTTCTTTTCGTAGTCAATATTCTGATGATTCTGGGGTTGTGTCGATAAATGTTGCAGAGTTGCATTAATTTTTGTACATTCATGATAGCTTAAAGCAAAGCCTTCTAATTCTTGTTCCATTTTACGAAGTTCCTCGCCAGTCTCGTGTGTTTGCCGACGAAGGGCATCAACTTGTTGTGCAATTTCAGTGGCAGTGTCGCCGCTCATCATTGGATCAGCCATCATCATCATTGTATTGCCCAAATCCTCCACTTGCGATACTAATTTCATCTCCGTCAACAGACAATGCCTTATTAACTTGAATAATGCTATTGGATTCTGACTATATCTTTGCTGTAAAATAAATAATAAATCATAATAAGTAATAATAATAAAATAAATATAGTACCGATTTAAAATTAGAAAATTCCTTAGATTTCTAAAAAATTAAATACTTACGCGAAATTGTACTGCTGCTTCGGAGAGTTTCATTTTTGTTGGAAAAAGATCACTTGTATGAAGAGAATTGGCTTTCGATTCAAGCTCCTGAATGAAGGACCCGACCATTGTAGCGATGTATTGTTCATATTGTGGATTTTCGGCATCTATGGTATTCCTGAAAACACTTCATTTTATTCGCATTTTGTATAGACCGATTTATTTGAAAATAAAAAGAAAAAAAATTCCAATTTTATATTTTTCTTGAATAATAAACTTACCACATTTTGTCTTCGAGCCATGTTGATAAAAAATGTCGAACTTCAATGGGGAAATGATCTCCGTAAATGTTTCGTACTTGTTGCAGAGCATGTTGTGGCAATCGTTGAGCTTTCTCCCAAAGCGACATTTTTGTATCGTTTGATCCTGGTGCTGAAAAAAATAATAAAAATCACTAGTCAGTAAATTGCGCATTTATAAGTTTTACATAACGTTTTTATAGAAACATTTAGTGATAAGATTTAAATAGAATTTATTTTCAATTGTAATTAATTATAACTCAATGAAGTTAATTACAATGATAATAAATTAGTGAAGAAAATTCTTCTGGTAACAATAATAAAAATAAGATTCAATTGAAGAAAAAATCCTTTGTCTCTGAAAAAAGTGAGATGTTTTTTTTATCCAGCGTGACATTTTGATTTTAATAAAAAATGAAAACATTTATTGATCTGCAAATTGAGAGCAGAGCATCGCCTAGAATAGATAATCTTTTTTTAAAACTCCAGTTGTGCTACCAATTCACGAAAAACTAATACATACACCTTTACGTGTTGTTTTTCCTCTAAGTGATTAATGTATTCGCTTTGCGCTCTTGACTTTCAACAGCAAGGGTGAGAGCAAGATCGATATATCCTGGCTGCAAATGGCAACGTGCAATATATGCATTTCGCTTATCGTGTTATCAATCAAGTAGGAAGGCGACAATCAAACGCTTCTTCCAGAGCCTACCTTTTAAACTAATAATAAATGTACACGCGCAACTAAAAGCCCACCATCTGATAAATATTAGTTTTACCCACAAAAGAATAAATAATCATTTCAATTCTTTTACAAACAATGTTTCACATTCAAACATTTTAACATTTCAACATTCCAATCAATATTTAAACACTTTTTTTATATTTGAAAAGACTTTTTTCAATTTTTAAAAATATATTCCTATAGATTTCCTTTTCTCCAAGTAGATCCTTCCCTTTGTATTCAAAATGCATCCAAAAAAAGATCATTTATCAATATTTCCACAATATTAATCTCCCTCGGTTATTAAACTCAGACCATAAAATTTTCTAAAGAAATAAAAATCAACCTTGAAAAGCCACTATCAGATAAAGAAGCATGAAATTTATCTTCAAGTGGAAAACAAAGTAAATAGGGAAGTGTTTACAAAAACTGACAAAACATTAAAATAGTAACATTTTTAACACACTAAAAAAATATCTATAAGCTATAAAAATTGTAGAGGATAAAAAGAATAATTTTCGCTTTGTAATTAGGAATGTGACAATTTCAAAAGTTTTGCAGAATTGCATTGTGTAACTACACGCATACCTCAAGAACACAGGTGCAGAACTTCTAAAAGTGCTATATTGAAATCGAACGCAGAAAACAGTACCGTTAATATAACAAAAAAAAAAAAAAAAAACAAGATCAATCGATCCTAAAGATCAACGATCATCGAAAGTGAGAGTCTACAGGAAAAAAGAACCCCCCCACCCCCTTCCAATGAGCAAAAAATGTATTCGAATCAAAAAATCTATTTCATCTCAAGAAACTCGAGATGCTTGTTGTAATTTGGAAAAGCCCCTGATGACGTATTTCTCGACGATACCGCGTAAATAGCCGCGGGGCTATGTAACGCGAAGGGAAAAAGTATACAAGTTATTTTCAAGTAAAACTTACTTGCTAGTCCGAAGACAAGCCCCAGGCGATGTATTAATTATTTCTTGATCCTCACACTACAATTTAAACACCACTTGCATAAATTATTGTGACTATTTTATCAATATTTTAAGAAGCAAAAGAATTAATTTCTGTTTTATAACCGGTAGCAACATACAAGTCAATAGATTGTGCAGGAACTACTCGATCCACTGTCTCCTGCACTTGACGCGGGCGGATTGCGGAGTGACGCGGGACGAAGGATTCCAAGAATTCGTACTGTAAATGAATACCGATTGGTGGAGATGACGAATCACGTGATCAAAGTTATTATTGCCGCGCAAGCGCAAGCAAAAGACAAACCTGTCGCTAGTTAATAATTACCAAGGAATAAAAAGGGTGAATAATAAGTGATAAATCTATACGCGTGGATAAGCAAATTCATAAGTCCATACCAGCAAATCAAGTGTTAATGAGAAATTGAGGAATAAACAAAAGAATTTCATTCAATATCATCTGTTCCACAGCTGTTTTCTTTTTCACCTTTTAACATAAACAAATAATTTCTTTCTTCTCCTTAAACAAAATTTTATTGTAAATTTACAACAATGGTTGGATTTTTATGAACAATTGTTGTTTGTAATAAAAAATAATTATCTTCTGTCGGTAAGTGTTTTTTCGGATAATTTACCGACAGAATACCGTCCTGTCCCGCCCGTACACGCGGGAAAATTCAAAATCATTGCCAATTTTGAAAATGTATGAAATGTAATTCCCTGAAAATTAAATTAATAAAAATAGAATAAAATGCAACTAAAAATGTTAATAATAAGGGTAAAATAAAGAACCTGGTTTAATGAAAATATTTATTAATCGTGTAACAATAATGTATTAGAAATACATTTGTAAACTGTTCTTAGAAAAAATATCGAACTCTTGGAGTTGCATTACAACAAAATAATATCAAAAGTATTGTAAACGTTTTAAACTTGTTTTAAATATTCCTAACGAAGATAAATTTATTATAAAATATAAATTCGACTCAATGGGAAAATAATCTCTTATTGCAAAATTGAAAAAGTAGAAAAATAATTTGTTTACAAAATATAATTATTTACTTTCATTGGAAAGCATTATTTGTGTGCACTTAAATTAGCATTTAATACTTTTGAGTATTAATGGAGGGAATACTAAAGCCACTGCACCAACTAAATACGAAGTTCTGCTGCCCAAACTCCAAAATGCTAGAAAATAAGAAAAAACATTAAAAAGAAACAAAAAATTTATTATTCAAATTTATTACTAAAAAAATAATTGAATTAAATTATTAATATTTAATATTTCGTACCAAGTGATGCGACGATTGGACCACAAGCTCGAGCTAATGCTCCGAGTGATCTGAATATTCCGGTAATGGAACCTTTTTGATTTTCGGGACCAATTCTCGTCACCAAAGTCATCATACAAGTAACAACAATTGCAGTTGCTAAAAAATAAAATCATTCTTTAATAATAGTAATTTTTTAAGCAACAATAAAAGGAAAACAGTTTATTCAAAAACTACCAAACTCGACAAGAAATTAATTTTTAAATATTTTTCTTCAATCATAAAAACATTTTTTTTCTCTAAAATAGATAATATATTATTAGGTAACAATAATAATAAAAATAGGTATAAATAAAAAAAATTAGAAACTACTAAAAGAATTAAATTAAATTAAAATTACTAAAAAAAGTAAATAAAATTAATTATTAAAAAAAATTAAAATAATTAAGACTACCGAGCGATAAAGTCAAAAAAATTAATAATTCCATGAGGTTAACAATTTTTGAATACTCTGTCTAGAAAAATGCACAAGACAACTAATTTCTTACAAACTGCGAAAAGAAATACACCAAAATATAACATGAAAACTTCTTTGGCTATTGCGATGCAGACAAATGAAGGAATTATGAGCCATAAACCCTAAAAAGAATAATAATAAAACAAAATATCTATTATATTATACCTACGACTAAAAGTAATGTCTAATTATTAAGAAAATCAATTTTAATTAATGTTCTCTAAATGAAAAACAAAAAAGTAAATTTTTTTTACCAATTCCGTGAAGAATTTAGTTTTGTGAGGCGGTATTTTCCGCACCCAACTTCCCTGCAATATTGCCATTGTCAATCCAATTCCAAGAAACATCCAACCTTGTTGCATTCGCGTAAAACCAAACGAATAATGAGTTAAAAATGTCAATGTAAATTCTAAACCACTGTAAATGAATAAATAAAGAAAATACGATCGTCCCAATGTTCTCAACTGTTGTAATTCTGAAAAATAAAAAATTTTAGAATAGAAAAACAGCTCAAACAAAATTAATTTTTTTTGACTTTATTTAATAATATTTTATAATAATAATTTTAATAAATATTTCTAATAGAAAATTTTTATAAATCAAAAAAATTAACAATTACCATTTCTATTGAGACTGGAGACGCCATTAAATTGAAATAAATCAACAGGATTAATGTACGTGAAAGCACTTGATATTCCAGAAGTGATCGATTTTGCTCGCAATTTTTTTGGAAGACTCTCTTTGTAATATAAGGAAAAATATAATAAATCGCTAACGGCTAAAGCGAAGGCAAATAAAGCTGGATATGCGTACCATTGGCCTTCTCTGTGTCCCATGGAATATTTTGCAAAAAGAGCTCCAATCATTGGTCCCAACACAAATCCCACCGAAAATGCAATGCCCACAAGTGCCTAAAAAAAGATTATTTATTAATTTCTTGTATTTTCAATTTTATTTTTCAAACAAATGTTTCTGTAAATTTTAATAAAATTCTTCGCAAGAATTCAATTATTCTCAAATTTTTTGATAAAATTCTTTGCAAGAATTCAATGATTTTCAATCATTAAAAAAATCATTCAAAAAGAAAAATTATTACAAAAGCTAAGAAACTAAATTCACTAAATTTGTAAAGAAAAATTTTCCTGATAGTTTTTCAAGAATTAAATTTATTATTTAAAAAAAAAATTGAATTTTCTATTCGAAGTTCAATTATTCTGAGAATTAAGAAAAGTTTCTAAATTTTACCATTGCCTTTCCTCTGGTGGCAGCGGATGTAACATCACTTAAAATAGCCATCGACAAACTTATATTTCCCTTACTGATTCCTCCGACAAATCTTGCAATTATAAATATTGCAAAACTCTTCGACATTGCCCACAGAAGATACGAAATTGCAATTCCTATTAAACACAATATCATCATTGGTTTACGTCCATAGACATCGGATAAGGCACCAATTATCGGAGAACCAAGAAATTGAAGAAACGAATACATTGAGCCAAGAAATCCTGAAAATAAAAAATTTTATTAATTTGAAAACTGAAGAAATATTAAATATTCAAAAATTTTACAAAAATTCTTACCTCCAAATAATACTGAACTTTCCTTAGCAGGTGCATGAATAAAAATACTGACCGCTTGAATACTGTTTAAAATCTTAGAATACAATCCATTTCCATCATCGAGCTGTTGATAATGTTCCAAAAGTGCCGGAAATAATGGCAAAATCATGGTAAATGCCAAAAGATCCAATAATAATGAAACAAACACAATTTTCACTGTTTTCGAATCTTCTTTTCTCACTTCCTCCATTTTTTCCATTTTAAATAAATACCGTACACAATTTTTTCCAAATTTAAATCTTGAGCGAAGATTAATTTTTCTTAGTTACAAAATTTTTTCTTTCGCAAAATTTTTGTTCATTTTCTGTTTAGAAATAACAGAAAACATTTTGGAGTAAATTTCTTTTTTTTATCTTGAATCGACAGAGTGAAAGTCGTTAATCATGTCAGTAGATTTATAAATCTTAAGGGGATTATAATGTTTAAATAAAAATGATCTCCTTTTGGTAAACAATTTCTAATTATAAAAAAAAAGAAAAAGAAGAAGGAACGTTAATTTTGAAAACGAAGGTTAAACACGATAATGATACCAGATGTTACTGAAGAATGCTTATAAGAGATCGAAAATAACACTTTTTAAGCAGGTCATCATCTCAGACCCTCACATGATTTTAAGGAAGGACTTTTTATAACTTTTAAACAAAGTGAAAGGCAACCCATTTTTGTTTGCCCTTATCAACGCTCACACACCGCAACCGGAGTTTCGTCGGATTCCCTCGTCGACGAAATGGGAATTTACCTTACCAAAAGGTAACCGAATTGGCAACTCCACGAGTGACCACTAGATGTTGCCTCTTCATAATTTATTTATTTCATTTATTTCATTTTATTTTAAAATGTTTAATTTAAAATCTATATTTAAATTTTTAATGATTTAAATTTAAACTAATATAAAATCAATTTCACAATAAAAAAGAGAAAAATGAATTTAATAATTTACAATATTTTCATTGAAATTTTGCATTTAAATATTAATAATTTAATTTTATACACTAAAACCAGTCGAAATGCAACTCGATTTTAAAAATTTTATTACAATCCTTAAAAAATTGTTTTGTGAGTTAATTTTGTAATATTTTTACAATATTTTGGAATCAAGTGAAAATAATTCTTGTGTTCGACATTATTGATTGCAAGGAAAATTTAAAAATACCGTTGCATTCCGACAGGTTCGACTGTAATTAATAGTTAATATAATAAATTAATAAATAAATTATTAGTAAAAAAATAAATTGAAAATTAATTCAATAAATTACGTTTGAAATTTTTTTCATTATCAGACTTTAAACTTGAAAATTTCTTCAAGATTCAAATTGTCAACTAGATTTTTTAATTAAATTTAAATTTAATAAATTACAAAATAAATTATTAGTAAAAAAATAAATTAAACCATAATTCAATAAATTACGTTCGAAATTGTTATCATTCTCAGACTTTGAAATTGTCCTTGAAAATTTCTTTAAGATTAAAATTGTCAACTAGATTTTTTATTAAATTTAAATTTTATAAATTACAAAATAAATTATTAGCAAAAAATGAATTAAATAATCATAATTTAATAAATTACGCTTGAAATTGTTTTCATTATTAGACTTAAAAATTGTCCTTGAGTTCTTCAATTCTTTAAGTTTCTAATTATTAACTAAATTTTTTTATTTAAATAAAATTTATTTTCCAAATAAACAACATTTGCTTGATAATTTATTTTACTTTCGAGTAGCTAATACTTTCTTAATAAATAAACCACTAAGAAACGAAAATAAATAAATAATATCTAAAAGTGCAAAAAAAAGGGAAAAAACTATTTTTATAAAGAAATAAAAAATATTTCTCGTATAAATTTAAAAATTTCAAAGTGCAAATTTTTATTCGCGCCTCTCCTCGTGGCTCCCTCTTTTTGACAATTTAAATTCACCAATTTTTTCCATTAAAATTAAAAACTAAACTCAAAAAAAAGAGAAAAATATCCACATAACTTCTTATTATTATTGTTTTTATTTGTCAGTGAAGCGAAAAATAGCTCAAGCAGGGCGCACCCACGAACATTATGTGCGCCCGACTTCCGGTACTAACTAATACCGCCACATGAATTCTCGCACACAACATTCAATTTACTTCCTCGACGAACAAAGATCTTTTCAAATACAGAACCAAAATTGTAACGCCATGGCATCTCGATCAACGCTTTAATAACGCCAAGCAACTTAATACTTTTTTTTAAGGAAGAATATGTACCCAACCATTTTGAAGAAGAAGAAGAAGAAGAAGAAAAAAACCATTGTGTTTGTTTGGGACTAAAAATAGAAGAAATATGATTTCTTTCCCTTACATATAATATATTGAATAGAATTATGGTTTATATTTAATACTAAACATTAAAAAAAGAAAAAGTTTTTGAAAAAAATATCAAGGTATTTTTAATTTCTTTTCTTAGATTGTAAAGAATTGCTTTCAATTTATTTTCGCATGAGAAAAGCTTTAATTAAAAAAAATGTTCACTTATGTAATTTTTTTCTTTTCAGTGAATAATAAATAAAAATAGGTTTCATAATTTAAAGACAAACATTTTTTTAAGGAGAGGCATTTTGTCTATATAGTGCGGTAATTAAAATATACTTATTTTCATGGGCAAATAGAAAAAAAATTAAGTTTGGAAAAAGAAAATAAATGAAAAAAAAATTGTAAACCCAGAACTGTATTTTTTTAAGGAAATTTTTATTAAAAAATCTGATTTCATCAAATTTTTATCTAGCCGCAATTTTATTAAATAAACTTGAGTCGAATAAATAAATTAAGTCGAATTTTTAATGTCACAATTTTCATTTAACAACATTTTTTTTTATTTGAATTATCTTTTGATAAAATCTTAAAAAGGGCGGATTTTCTTCTGATCAGAATTGCAAATGACCAAATAAGACGGACAAAAATATTGCAGCTGCGAATTTTAAAATTGATCAATCAGAAATTATTAGGTGCACAAAATAAAATTCTGATTTCTCAATTTCAGAATTCGTGCCGAAATATTTCTCTCGGTTATTTATTTGGCGATACTTAAATTTAATAATCTATCACGTTTATGAATTTAAATAGATAAATAAATAAATAAATAAAAATCGTTTTGAAAATTCATTCAAATGACAATTCGAATAAATAAAAATTCACACAAATGAGAATTCAATGAAATGAAAAATGAAATTTAAATTCAGTTCAATTCTGATTTAGTTTTCACTTTAATTAAATCAAAATTCAATTTATTTAAAGTCCAATCTATTGAAAATATAATTTAACCAAATTTCAATATGATAAAATTTTATTCAATTTAAATTCCCATCGATAAAAATTTCAACTTTATTCAAATTTTAATTCAATTTCAAGTGATCTAACTTTTATTTAATACCAAATTTTATTGTACAAAACAAATTTAATAATATAAATTTTAATTGATTTTTAATTGAAATTTAAAATTTAACTCATAAAAATCTCAAATTACCTGAATTTCACCTTCTTTTAATTTTAATCAATTGTAAATTAAAACTATTGAAGCTTAAAATTATATCGAAATTTCTATCTATAATTTTTTAAAGAATTTCAAAATTAAATTATAATAATAAAAATAAATAATAATAAAATTATAATAATATTTAAATAATAATCGTTTTTTATTACTTAAACACAAAAATTTTTTATAAAAAAAACTTTATAAAATTTGGAAAAACTAAAAAAATGTTATAAAACGTAAAAAATATTAAAAAGTAACCAATTTAATTAAAAACATTTTTTTTTCTTAATTCGTTACAAAATTTTTCAAAAGAATTCAATTGTTTTCTAAAATTCTAATAAATTCTTCGAAAGTATTCAATTATTTTTGTAAGTAGTAAAATTCTTTGTAAAAATTCAATTATTTTTAATACAATTTTAATTAATTTTCACGAAAAAAATCAATTGTTTTTCTAAATTCTTAATAAAACTTTTCGAAAGAATTCAATTATTTTCGAAAACTTTAATAAATCCTTTGAATCAATTAAATTATTTTTATAAGTAGTAAAATTCATCGCAAGAATTAATTAATTTTTTTATAAATAACAAAATTCTTCTCAGGAATTCAATTATTTTCAATACAACTTTAATAAACTTCAATAATCAAATATTTAATTATGATTTTATTAACAGACACGATTATTTTAATAAGTTGAAAAAAATTCTTTATCGAATTAAATTATTTTCAAAATGTTCAATTACAATTATTTAAAAAACAAAATTATTTTCAAATGAACTTAAAGAAATTTCTTCAATAGAATTTGATTATTTGCAAAAACTCAAACAAAAATTGTTTTAATGAGTTTAATTTTCTAACAATAAATTTTAATAAAATTATTAATTATAATTAACAAAATCGATTATATTCAATAAATTAAAGACATTTTTTGTAAAAGAATTCAATTATTGTAAAAACTTTTAATTATATCTATTCTTCTAAAAGAATTTGATTATTTTCTATATTTTATGAAAATTCCTTGAATGAATTAAATTATTTTAGAAAATTGTAATAAAATTCTGAGAAGAATTTAATTATTTTCTAAAAATTTTAATAAAATTCAATTGCTAAATGTCTAATTTCAATTATTAAGAAATACGATTAGGTTTTAAGAAATTGAAAGAAATTGTTCATAAAATTCAATTACTTTCAAAAATTTTAATTAAAATTATAAAAGAAAGTCTATTATTTAAAAGAAATTCAAAGTAATTCTTCAAAAGAATTTAATAAGAATATTCAAAAATTTTAATAAAATTCTTCATGAGAAGAATTACATTAATTTTAAAAAAAATATATTACAATTCTTTGCGAGAATTTAATTATTATAAGTGAATATTTGGAGAAATTATAACAAAATTGTATAAAAAATAATTGAATTTCAAATGAAATTAAATTATTTTTAATACAATTTTGTTAAAATTTTTCCTAATATTCAATTATAATTAAAACTTTTGATAAAATTGATCAAAACAATTTACATAATTATTATCAAACATTTAAATTAAGTTCTTTGCAAAAATTTAAATTAAATAAGCAGAAGAGAACGATTATAAATATAGATTAGCGTATTTAATGTAGTGCAAATTCTTAACAAAAAAAGAAAAAAATTTTTTTTAGTGGTACAAATCTAAAAAGAGTATCGAAATAGTAGAGAATCGAATAAAAGGTAGTAAATAGAAGTTTTTAGTATATGAAGGTAAATTCTGAAAAAAGTGAAGAAAAAACCCTGAAACGAATAGGAACACTACTAAATAGTCAAGAAACGTAAAGTAGAAATTTTCTGATTTTTCATGAAGAAACAGAAGAAATAATTCGAACTAATTGTACTACTTTTTATAGGATTCGATAAAAGTGAATGACAAAAGCATCTGATTGAATTTGAAATATTTAATTGAATTTTATAAATATTTAATTTTTTTTTTCGAAAGTAGATCCTTATTTGTCAACTTAACGTGCTTAAAGTAGATTTAAGAGTAAAGGTAGAATTATTTTTATTAGATATAGGTGTACCAGTGGTGTACGTGAAGAGTAGAGCAGGTGGTATAAGAACCATCAGCACAGTATATAATGTACACATATAACGTGGTTAAATTTTAAGTAAGGGGCTCAGAGCGCTTGCCATCTGGGCCGTGCTTTTGGGCCTGGTGAACGGCCCAGTCCCTGCAGCGCGTTGTCGTTTTCACCTTGCACCTTAGTCGTAATTTAGATACCCATACATCCCCGGACTTGAAAATCGGTTTGCTTTTCAAATGACATCACTCTAGCACAGGCTTATATACAATGTATGTAACTATAAAGCACATATACCTGGTGTGAATTCTCCACTGGGAGGAAGTTATAAATTCTTCATTGGAATTTAAATTTAAAATTCTAAATTTCAATGAATTTCGAAAAAAAAAATTTCCTTCTCGATTAGAAGATAGGAAAAGTAAAATAAAAATAAAATCAAAAAATGAAATTCGTGACAATTTTTCTTACAAATCAAAAACGAAATTAGGAAAAATGTTTAGGAGAAAAAATATAAGTAAATTTAATTTCGAAAAAAAAATTTCACTATTCAATATAGTGAAAATTGAAAATAGCCAAAAAGAAGAGAAAGTTGTTGAGAAATGTCCTTGGAAATACGATATCATTTTTACTGATATTCCAGGTGTTTTTCGAGTCTCGGTAATATATTTTAAAATTGCAATTGTTCGAGAAATTCAACAGGTATATAACGTGGACTTGTCAGTAAGAAACTAGTTAAAGCGTGTCTCAGATCCTGGGGAGTTGTGCAAATATGCAAATGGAGAAGAATTGCTTGTTTAGAGAGTTTATATATACGAGGGTCGTTGTCAAGTTGGGAATCCCCCCTTAATATCGTCGTAAAGTAGCCCCCCAAAAGTATAAAGTAGACAAAGTTTTAGAAGAGCGAAGAATCGTATTTTTGCCGAAAACGAAAATTTTTGAAAATTCTTCCTTGGAATGTAGTGTTACAGCTTCAAATCGTCGAACTATGGAAATGCCAACGAACAATGGGACAAAGAACATTTTTGACGATACATAAGCCGGCTGCTTAATACGGTGTACATTGTGTGGTACAAAAATCTAGGATGCCCAAAATAATATTTTCTCTATACAAAATATTAAAAAAAAACTCACCAATTATTTCCTCATCCAGATCTGTTAGAATATTTGTAATTGCATCCATCGTTGGATCATCAAAGTCCGAAGAATCCATTGTTTCAAAAATCACCTTCTCATCTGTCAAAAAAATTCGAAATTAGAATTTTATTTCCCAAAAAAAAAAAAAATTCTTTTAAAAAGTAGTTTTCGTTAAAAAAGTTTTAAGTTTTCGTTACATAAATATAGTTTTTATATAATTTATTTATTAATACCAATTACTGCCCAATCAATTGAGTAATTTAATTTTAATTATAAAAATAATTAAGTATAAAAATGTTATCAAGTGTGACTTGATGACAAAGAAAATACTTTTTTTCATTTCAGACTTTTGCCCCAAAGACTGAATTTTATTATGTATATTCAAACAAGTCGTTAACAAGTAGATATCTACTTTCATCTTTAACGTTATTATCTGCGGAATATCACGTCTTTGTTGAAAGTAGAAGCTAGATAAAATCAATCAATATCCAATGCCTAACATGACAAAAGAGTATAAACGAGACAAAGAGACGAGACAGAAGCTCCCCTTATTTTTCGGGAAAATCCCAATTATGCTTTCCACAATATTCCCAACAAAGGAAACTACATCGAAAGACTTATATATACTGCATTTCCAATAGAGTCATTAATCTGAAGCGAATTTCAAAATTACCATTGATAGAAAAAAAAATCAGACTAATAATATAATTAACCGTGAAAATTCTCGTTTTCTTTCTCCAATAATTAATGGGTCAAAGAAAATCTGAACAAAGTGATAAATTTGGTAAATTGATAAATCTGAAAATTTTCAGCTATGATTTGAAAACTCCTTTGTTTGCTTCTTTGTCATTTAACATTTTTAATAATTTTTCTTTTTAAAAATGTTTTGAATTTTAAAATTAATGTACCGAAAATCATTGAAATCTTGCGAAGTATTTATCAAAAAATTTGAAATTAATTCAATTCTTTTGAAGGATTTTTCAACATTTTTTAAAATACTTAAATTCATTTGAGTAATTTTATTAAAATTGTATTAAAAATAATTGAATTCTTGTAAAATTTTTTATTATTTATGAAAACAATCGAATTCTTCTAAAGAATATTATTAAAATTTTTGCAAATAATTTAATCCTTAGCAAGAATTATATTAAAATTTTTTAAAATAATTGAATTGTTTTGAAGGATATAATTTTAATTTTTTTGAAAATAATGCAATTTTTTTTAATAATCTTTATTGAACATTTTGAAAGTAATTGAATTTTATATAGAATTTCTTTAAATTTTTAAAATAATTGATAGAAAATTCAATTTTTTTAAACAATTTTATTAGAATTTTCGAAAATAATAAACTTTTTTTGAAAAAAATTTCTTTAAATTTTTTAAAAATAATGTTTTTTTAAATCATTTTAATTGAAAATTTTTAAATTAATTAAATTAAACAAAGAATTTAAAAAAAAAATTTAAATAATAGTGCCTGTTAAGAATTATAATTGAAAGTTTAATTATTGAATTTTATTAAAATTGTATTGAAAATAATTTAATTTTTCGGGAAAATGTTATTATTTTTAAAAATATTGGAATTCTTGCAAAAAATTTTATTAAAATTTTTACGAAGAACTTAATTAAAATGTTTGATTATAATTGAATTGTTTCTATCAATTTTATCAAAAGTTTTAATAATAATTAAATATTATAGAAGAAATTTTAACAAAATATTCAACTATAAATAATTAAATTCCTGCAAAGAATTGTAAAATTTTTAGATTTTTAGAATTAAAATTTTTAGAAATAATTCTTTTGAGAAAATTTAATAAAATTCATATTGAAAATAATTGAATACTTTCAAAGAATGTTATCAAAATTTTAAAAGCAATTTATTTTTTAATATTTTTAAATGAAAATTTTGAAAGTAATTGAATTTTATGAAGAATTTCTTTTAAGTTTTAAATTAATGGTGTTTATTAACAATTTCATTATTAAGTTTTAAGAACAGTTTTTAAGAAAGAATTCCATTCTTCTCAGAATTTTATTAAAATATTACAAAATAATTAAATTCTTTCGAATAATATTATTAAAGTTTTAGACAATAATTGAATTATTTTGAAGCTTTTCTTTAATTTTTTTTAATGTAGTCTATTTTCTAAAAATTTGTAATTATTAATTTTATTACTAAATTTTATTAAAATTACTGTTAAAAAATTGAATTTAATTGAAAATAATTAAATTCTTTAGATGAATTTCTTTAAATTTTTTAAAAATATTGTTTTTTTAATAATTTTAATTGAAAATTTTTACAATAATTGAAATTTACAAAGAATTTTACCAAAACTTTTGAGAATAATTGAATTTTATAGAAAAATTTCATTACAATTTTTAGAAATAATTAAATCTTTTCTCTGAATTTTACTAAAATTGTTTCGAAAATAATTGAATTGCGAAGAATTTGACTATTTATAAAAATAATTGAATTCTTCCAAAAAATTTTATTGTTTATGAGAATAATTGAATTCTTCCAAAGAATGTTATTAAAATTTTTCAAAATGATTATTTTTTAAAAAATTATCATATTCTTCCAAAGAATGTTATTAAAATTTTTGAAAATAATTGAATTCTTTTGAAGAATTTATTACAATTTTTTTTTTAAATAATGGAGTTTTTTTTAATAATTCTTATTGAATGTTTTGAAAGTAATTGAATTTTATTTATTTTATTTTAGTAAAATTTTAAGATTGTTTAAAAAATATTCATTAAAAAAGGCTTTCTTTCAACGAAGCAAATCTTTACTTTGCTGCAGTTCACAACGTATAATCAACGATTTAGAAGAAAACAAATTGCTAGATTTACATTTTTGTCTAAAATAATTTTTACGTTTCTTGATCTACAACTGGAAAAAGATAAATTTGTAAACAAAATATTATTGTTTTATGAGTAAAAAATTCTTTCTTTCAATCGTTGATAATAAACGACATTCGTAAATTTTTCACACAAACAAAAAAAATTATAAATATTTAAAAAAAGCAAAAAATATTGAAAAAAAGAAAATTTACAAATTATTGAAAATATTCAAAAATATAAAAAAAAAATCTTAATTTAGTTGTTTAAATGAAAGCAGCGATTTGAAATTTAAAAAAAACCGAGTTTAAGGGTAAACTCTCGAGCTTGTCACAAATTGAGAAATTCAATTGGCAATCTCGTATAACTAACGATGTGAAGGATCTGCTGAAAGCAACAAGACACCGCTGCTGCTCTCCTCTGATCTTTACGATGTTTTCATCAATAAATTTGAAACCCAAAAAAGGGGGAAGTCTGCGAATAAATGTCGAGAGTCTTTTTCAGTATTCGAATCCGCCCCTGGAGATTTTTTAAAGGGAAAAAAGGATGTCCCAACCCTCATGTTCATGATTCGAACTATGTAGTGAAAAAAAAAGAGTGAACAGAAAAGAAAGAAGGTGAAAGAAAGATAGAAGTAATGTGGTATTACAAAGAAGAGAGAGAGTGAGACAGGAGGAATCGGTGGGCCTCATTGGGGCCCTGAAAAACTTGAAGGATAAAGAAAGAAGAGAGTATGTATATATGTATATACATACACAGGACGGAAGAAAGAAACTCATGGCAATCATGAGGAACAAGTATAAGCATAAGTTTATAAGCGCGTGCCCGCGCAACCGACGGCAGATGCGCTCCCAAACGCAGCTGTCCTCCTACAAGTGGTGCTCAATCATCCCCTTTTTTCCTCCGTTTTTCCCCAGGTTATACATTTTATACATATATACTATGTATTGCTCATGACAATGAAACTACAGCCTGTTTTTCAAAAAATAATGTCTTACGTGTTTGATCCTGATTTGAAAAGGGAATAAAATTCACGTGCGGCTCCTTTCTTCAAATCGAAAGATTTTCATCCACTTTGACACAGTTTTTACGACCTCCAATCACAAAGAGGACCTCGTTTTTCTATTCCTTTATTAAAGGATCTCTTCTCTTGCTCTAGTTCTTCAATAGCCTTTGTTGTGCCCAAAAATTTTTCAGCTTCCCGATGAATCTAAAAAAAAAGGAAATATATATATACTTTTCAAACAATGAAACTATTTTTAACTGTAATGCTAAATAAATCATTTTTCTCTCAATTCACACAGTTTTTAATATATATTTAATAAATTGTTAATATGTGCAAGTTTCCTTTTTTGCGGTACAACTCCACGGAAAAAAATAATTCAGGAAATTTTACAGAACGAGATTTCCCTGAGTTACCTAGTTTCAAATTAAAAAAATTTTACTTTGCGTAAGAGAATAACAAAGGAACGATCCAATTTCATCTACTATGTAAAAACAACTTTTTTAAATCAATTTTCAATGTTTTCATTATCAAAATTTTCAGAGAAAGGTAAAATTACAATTCAATTATGTGGATAAGTCTATGTCGAAAGTCCTAGACAAAGAAAAATATTGAAAAAAATTGTTATCAAATATTGTCAGTGACAGCTATGAATAAATTGATCAATCATATTCATAAAAATCTGAAATGTTTTTATCTAATTCTACATATAAATAATAAATTAAATAGAAGCATTTTTTGCTCAAAATTTCCTTTGCTCCCATTTCTATTCTAATTGAGTCAATTTTTAATTTTATTTTCAATCATTAAATTTGGAACAAAATTTTATTAAAAAAATTTAATGCTATGCATGACAATAACAAAAAATTGAAAATTTTATTTTTTAGTAAATTTGCTTCTAATTTTCAACATAGAAGAAAAAATTATCAATCCAAAAAAAATTCTTGCAAAGGATTTTATTTAAATTTTTGAAAATAATTAACTGTTTTCGATGAATTTTATTAAAAGTTTTAATAATAATTAAAAATTTCGAGAAATTTTAACAAAATTGTATTCAAAATAATTTAATTTCATGGGAGAATTTTATTATGAAAATAATTAAATTCTCGCCAAAAATTGTAATAAAATTTTTATAAATAATTCTTTCGAGAAACTTTAATAAAATTCTCAATGAAAATAATTGAATTCATTCAAAGAAATTAAATAAATTTTTTTAAAATAATTGAATTGTTTCGTTGAATTTCATTCAAAGTTTTGAAAATAATTGAATATTTGGAGAAATTTTAACAAAATTGTATTGAAAATAATTGAATTTCAGCGAAAAATTTTATTAGTTATAACAATAATTGAATTCCTGCAAAGAATTGTAAAAAATTTATAGAAATAATTCTTTCGAGAAAATTTAATAATTTTCATATTGAAAATAATTGAATTCTTTCAAATAATTTTATTAAAACTTTTTAAAATAATTAGGTAATGTTTTTTTTAATCATTTTAGATGAACATTTTGAAGCTTAATTAAATTTTATGAAGATTTCTTTCAAGTTTTCAAAATTGTGGTGTTTATTAAAAATTTGATTGTTGAATTTTATAAACATTTTTAGGAAATAATTAAATTCTTCTTAGAATTTTATTAAATTATTACAAAACTATTGAATTTTTTCGAATCTTTTCTTAAATTTTTTGAATATCATCAATTTCTGTTAATAATTTTATTTATTATTTTTATTATTCAATTTTATTATAGTTATTAATAAAAAATTGAATAGAAAATAAAATTCTTTTGATGAATTTCTTTAATTAAATTGATTTATAATTTTTTTTTTAATAATTTAAATTAAAAGTTTTGAAAGTAATTAAATTTACGAAGAATTACTATCAATTTTTTAAAATAATCGTGTACGTTAGAAATTGCAATTAAAAATTTGATTATTGAATGTGATTAAAATTTTTAGGAAATAATTGAAATCTTCTTAGAATTTTATCTCTATTTTTTTGAATAATTAAATTCATTCAAGAAATGTTATTAAAATTATGAAAATAATTTAATTCTTCCGAAAAATGTTATCAAAATTGTATTCAAAATAATGGAATTCTCATGAAGAATTTTATTATTTGTAAAAACAATGGAATTCTTTCAAAGAAATTAATTGAATTGTTTCGATAAATTTCATTAAAAGTTTTAAAAATAATTGAATTCTCACGAAGAATTTTATTATTTGTAAAAATAATTGAATTCTTTTGAGAAAATTAAATAAAAATTGTATTCAAGATAATTGAATTCTCACGATGAATTTTAATAAAATTTAGAGAAACAATTCTTTCGAGAAGTTTTAATTAATTTCATATTGAAAAAAATTAAATTCTTTCAGAGAATTTGATTAAAATTTTTGAAAATAATTGAATTTCTGTGAAGAATTTTATTATTTATGAATATAAATAAATTCTTGTAAAAGAATTTTATTGAAATTTATAAAAACAATTATTTCGAAAAACTTTAATAATATTCTATCAAAAATAATTTCAAAGAATTTGATTAAAATTTTTGCAAATAATTGCAATTCTGCGAAGAAATTTATTAAAATAAAATAAAATTGCAAATAAAATTTTATTTTATTTTTGCATAATGCTCCAATTTTGCAATTTTGTACCATATATATTAATATAGAAAACTTCTGATAAATATAATTTTATGCCGGTGAGAATATTTTAATTTATTTGCAAATCGTGAGGTGACTTGTAAATGAAATTCGACTGTGATTAAACTTGTAAATAAATTTAAACACTTTGTTAGTAAATAATATATCATCGGTTTCAATGGGGAATGACGCATGACACATATAACGTATATATTGATTTACCCTTCTTTTTTTTCAAGCAAGTCCGAATAAAAGGGGGATGCTTTGGTGCATTAAATGATGGCCATGGAAAGGGATTATGACGCATTTGGTGTATAATCAAAAAGTGCAGGGAGCATGTGCGTAATAGGTTTCTTTGTGTGTACGATTCGAAAATAATAATACTTTAATGCAAAATTGAATCAAATGACAGACAAAACTGATTTTAAACAGATTTCCCTGAATTGCTCAAAACTTATAAATTGAAAATCATATGATTTTCAGTTTAGAAGTTTTGAGTATTGAGGAAATCTTAAGAATATGAAAAAAAATAAACAAAATAAGATTAAATTTGTTTACATTCTAATCGAAGATTGAGGAAATTTATTCTAAACAGAAAAACAGAATAAAACTTTGTATCAAAACAGAGTTCATTGACCTTCTCTTTGTCATCTGGTTTTCCAAGATTTTCCAAAGAGCGCAAATTTTTCAAAAAGTATTAAATAATCTAAAAACGATAATTTATGAAATTTAAACATTTAAATCGATAATTCTTTTATAATTTATAACTTTGTTTAAATATTGCGAATAAAAATTAATTTCTAATATTTTTTACACTAAAAAGCAAAATAACTTTAAGTTATTGTTAGCAATATTAACAATAAAGAGTTATTGTTAGTAATATTAACAATAAAGAGAAAAACTAATAAAATTCCATTTTTTACCAATTTTGCATTAAAATAATTTAAATAGCTATTGAAAATCGAAAATTTGACACAAGTCAAATGAATTTAAGAAGAAATATTTCCGCTCGTCAAAAGTTCGTTTCAAACGAAAATTATGAAAAATAATTTGAAATAAAAAGAAAAAAAAATATCGGACCTTTAGAAGCAGTGCATCAAGCTCGGCAAAAAGATGAAATCCAGGACAGCTGATAGAGTTTTTGGCGGGATCCTCGTGCTGCGCGAACAGTCTGGAAAGGAAGAGGAGGAAAGTACGATGAAAAAAAGGAGGAAGAAAGGGGAGTCTTCTGGCCCCATTTTGTTGCTGTTAAATAAGAATAAAGTTTCCCCACCACCATAGGGTTCGGATATAAGCACCTATATACACAAGCAAGAAGCTTTCATGCACTCCGGGCCCAAAAGGAATAAAGAGGCGCTACACCTGGTCGCGCTCAGCAGTTTCGTGAAGAACGCCCTGCGTGGCACATCTCTCCTTCTCTCTCACTCTCTCATCGTTTATAATATATTATAAGTTTTCGGTCCTCTCTGCCGATTTCATTTTCTCTCTCTCTGCGCCACTTCCGAAATATATGTATTCAACGCGCAGAACCTCAACTCACTTGACAAAGAAATCCGGTCGCGTCCTGCGTCATCATCATCATCATCATTATTATACCAGAAAAAACAGAGTTTCAGAAGACATTATATCAAGTTCAGTGTTGTGCAGTGAATCGAGTTTATCGGACGGTCCAGAGTGTCTAAAAATCCATTTGTACTATCCGTGCCACGAGGTCACTAGAGATGAAGATCCATGAGATGAACTTTTACAAAGACAGTCATCACACACATCCTCGCCGCAACTACCTGAAACAAATTTAATTGTTTTATATTTCAGAAAAATAGAATAACAAAAACAAACTACACCCGAATCTTCGTTTTCTATCAAAGGTAATGTATTATTTATTTTTCAATTTTTAAATTTGAATTAAACACTCGAATTAATCGATTCTCGAGCGATATTGTTGTAATCACTTCAGATTGTTAAGAGAAAGAAACCGCGAACAAAGGACTTCAAATTATTAATATTTTGTCGAGAAATGTGATAAACAATTAACAACTTTGACACATCTCGCGACTTATTTTACTAATAAACTTCAAAACAAATATTACTATTTAAATAAGAAGAAAGAAGAATTTTTCTAACTGTACAATTGAAAAATATTAAAGTATATTTTCCAAAGTAGTTAATGTATTAAAAAGAGATTACGCAATGGTGAATAAACGACAAAGTTTAAGGGTTATTTATATTTAGAGTGAGAGGGAATATAAAGTGCCCTTCATTAACATGAAAGATTGTACAATTTCGAATACAAACAAACAAGTCTTATTTTGTTTATCTAATAGTATCAAAATAGTGAAATTCGAAATTTAGCCAAGGGAAAAAATCGCAAGCACTCGAAATATTTTTTCTGATTCGGAGTTTTCTTTTTTTCACCCAAAAAAAAAATGTATTATGTTTACCACTTGTCCCCGTAAATTAACGGTTTTTCAATGCTTGAAACACTTTCTTTGTCGGAAAGACAAGTTTAAATGAGTAACCAGTAAACTTGATATGTATCTATATTCAAATCAGAAACTTTCATGTCACTATTATTATATATATTTGTTTAAAATTCTATTGTATTTCAAAATACCGAGTAGATCGGATTATTTTCCCTCCAAATCTCACATTTATTTGTAAAACAAAGCAAAAAAAAAATTATTTACAGTGAGATTTTGTTTTTTTTCGATCCAATATCGAAATCTGATTCTGGTACAATTTCAATATAATTGTAAATTTTATTTTTTAATTAATATTATTTAACTTTCTAATATAAGTTCTCTTTCTCCCTAAATTTGAATAGAAAACCAAAATGTTTACTAATTTGAATTAGAGACTAACTGTTTGATTTTGAATTAGTAAATATTACTAATAAATAAGTCGAAATAACTGTTAGTAAAATTCACTAATAAATTAGTAAAAGTAATAAATTCGTAAAAATTTTTACCAATTAAAATTTAGAGAGTTGATTTAATCAAGTAGAAATAATTTTCAATTTTCTATCGAAAATTTTTATTTTAATCAATTATTAAAATTCCATTAATAAACAAATTTTATTTTTGCTCACAAATTTTTTATTTGATAAAATAAAATATTTTTTCAATTTCTTTCTAATTTTTAACTTTAGTTCTGTAATTTTTTTAATTAGTAAAAATAAAAAAATAAATAAATAACATAATAATAAATAAAATAAATTTAAAAAATTCTAATCAATTTTTTCTTTGTTGTCTAAATATTCTTTGTCTCTTTTTTTCTTTCACAAACAAATATTTGGAACAAAAAGAAAAAAGAAATGAAGTCAAGGTCAAATAATTTTGGTCATTTTAACCTTTAGTTTTAAAATTGAAAAAAACCTATGGAAATAAAATTTGTAAAATTTATTTAACCGAAATCGTAATCGTTATATCAGTTAATTTTGTCTTTGTTTGTGGATGACGTCATCCACTTATAGAGAAATCAATGGGAGTACGCGTGTTAAGTATAACTTACTACGATCTGATTGAGTGTGGTAAACGTGACTAATTATATAAGAAAGGGATTTAGTATGATTCGAAAAAATGTTGAAAATTGTTTGTGTACACGAAAGCTTTATTATTCGTTGTTAAAAAGCTATTAGCACTGATACTGATTATTATTTCGGATATAAAAAAAAATTATTTACCACTAACATTTTTTATGTTCTCGATATTGTAACAATTTTTAATCATCGAATTTACTATATTATTATTTATTCTCCAAATATATTTATTCTATAATATTTATAATTCATTGTAATGAATTTTTCAAACTACATACTAATTAATAAATCAACAATAATAAACTAATAATTAATAAAATAATAAATAATCTTCAATAATAAAAAAATAATAAATAAAACTAACAATATTGAATCTAATAAAAACATTTGAACTGATAATAAAATTACTTTTGAGAAATTAATAGAATCATTACGAAATAAATAAAATCGTGAAATGAATATTCATTCTTTTTTTTCTTTTTTGAAATTTCCAACCGATAATAATCTTCAATTATATTATGAAGAATATTTAAAAGAATATTTGATTTAAAAATTAACAAGTGAACGAATTCTCAATTATTTTTGTTGCCAGAGTTTCAATTTTTACTCTGTCAACGAAAATAATTGAAAATTCGAATTAGATGTTTAATTTTGTCAATTAAAATATTGTGCAAGATTTTCGCAGAATTTCTACATTATTGGAGCGAGTTTGGAAAAAAGTAACGTAAATGATTTTTTTTTTTTTTGAAGATTGGGAAAATTGCAGCCAAGCAAGAGAAGAAGAGCTGTATTTCAAAGAAGCGTTTCAGGTAAAGGATTATTAAGTTTGGAAGTAACGGTCTATGATTTGTGATTCGAAGTAGAAAAAGAGCCTCTCTGATTTGGAGACTGACCGCCAAGGCCACATTGGAGGGCTCTACAATATACAATATACAATATACAGTTTAGCTTCGATTTTAGGGCTTATATATATTTTTCACAATTCTTTTTTAGTGTGCGTGTTTTGTTCGAATAAAGGTGATTGAAGAGAGAAAAAAATCGCTTTTTTTTGTACATCTATAAAAAGAAACTGATTTCAAAATTGATTAATTGCATTAAAGACAGGTCGAGATTCGTGACAATGTTTCGATTTGATATTTTTTTAATATTGCACTTGTCCCGGCCTATCGAAATGCAGAAAAATCACACAAAGAAGAATTTGTTTACACAATGGAAAAGAAGAACTTCGAGAGGGGAGGAAGAGAGAGAAAAAGAAAAAGAAAAAGAAAAAAGGGTGACGACAATGTTTCGAGTTTTCGGCAGGCGGGGATGTGAGCATTATTTGTGGGATTGGATCAAATTGCACTCGTCCCGGCCTGCTGGACTTGCTCGAGTAATCTTCTGATATACCTTTCGATACCGTTACTCTGGATCTGGACCTCAAGAAAATTTACACAAACCTCTCAAAGAGAGGCCTTTTTAAAACATCAAGCTCCGAATTCAATATTCCTGTTTATTCTCACATTTTCTTTAAATGTTATTTGATACACTTTTTTTTAAATATATTTACTTTTTTTTCTTCTTTCTTTCCTTCTTTCTTTCTTTCACATTCTGAAATTACAGGTACTTAAGTGAATATGAATAAAAGTGGAGGATTTAAATAATTATTTCCAGGCAGTCGTTCCCATCAGTTTATATATATATGTATATACAAGAAGAAAAGAAGGTGAAAAGGAGAAGAAAATAAAAAAAGAAACTGACATCCGTCCACGGTCTTTTCTAGCACACTTTAAATCGAACTTTTTAGAGGGTGTCTGCAAGCGATTATCTTGGAGACAGAAGGTTTGTGCTGCCAACGGTGCGTACAAAATACAATCGGAGACCCCAGGGCCAGTTGGACTGCTAGTTTCAGCTTTCAGCTTCTTAATACTAGACTGGGCACTTTTCGGCGAGATGGTTTCGTCGAATTTTTATTTTTCAAACTGCGAAGGATGCACGAACAATTCCTTTCTAGTATTAAACTAAACAGGGATCTGTTCAAGGACGTGGGCACATTTTTTAGATTCTCCCTAAAACATATCGCGAGAGCATTGAAAATTTTTCATCGATAATCCTTGGGAATAGAAATTTTTCGAAAATACCACAGCTTTATTGTGTTTTTTCAATTTTTTGAAACCTCTGATTATCTAAAAAAAGGAAATATATACATTTAACATTTTTTTAGTGTCGATTTAAATTCTGGAATCTATTCTATTGTTTAAATGAATGCAATTTAATTAATTTTTCGTTTGTAGAAAAATATTAAATATAATTTTGTAGTAAAATATGAAATTAAAAAGCTATTTCCTACTCAGACCGTTTTTTACAAAAATCATATAATCTATACTTTATAATTTTTAACAAAAAATTTAAAACAAAGACTTATTTTACACTATTTAAACAATATTTTCGAAAAAACTCTGTAATTTAATCTGATTATCAGTTTGAAATTGGTCCGAACTTTGAAAAATTATTTTAAAAAATCATGTGTGCTCCGAGAGTTAATATTAGAGAAAATGCAAAAGTTCTAAATTTGTTTCTATTTTATAATAATTCACTACTTGAAAATGGCGTCACGTTATTAAAATCTTTTTTATTTTTGTGAATTAAATTTTTTCCATCATCAGAATTTATTGTATTGAAATATAAAATTTTAGACTGAAAGTTCATCCAAAACCAAAGATATGCAGTATAAATAAATTCTTCCTCTATGAAGAAGAAATACCTACATAAATAAATAAACAAAAATTTTTGAATTTAAAAAAAACAAGAAAAAAAACAAGAGAAATCATTTACAAAAACGTACAGAACTTGAGAAAAAAAGGCAAAACTAAAATCTCCTTTTCAATTTATATTTACCTCTTTATCAAATTCATATTAAATTTCTTTAATCTAATCTAAACAATGAAAATAAAGAATTTAACTACTGTATTCAAATATTTATTTAATCCACGAAATTAATTTATGAAACCAAATAATTATTAAAGTTTATTAAAGAAGATGAAAATTTACGATTCCACACGTAAATTTCTTTATTTATTTTTCACTAAATTTTATATTAAAATTATTAATTTCTTCCTAAATGTAAAAAAGCGATAAATATCCTATTGATTTTAATTAGCGTCAATAATCTGTAAATTATTGAAATTTCACTAAATCATCAGTCAGATTTCACTGATTAATTAGCCAACATACGCTTTTTGAAATTGGTGACATATACTTATCGCT